TCCCCCTGGAATTTTTGAATAGTGAACCAGCTTCTTGGCAAAAGCTGGCTACAGGCCTGAGAGTTGTCGTGATATGTGCCTGTGCCCAGTCCACATTTATATCTGCTATGTTATGGTGATGTAGATTGGGCAGTATGAATCACCTGGCTAATAGTGTTCTTCAGGTGGGGGAGGGGATTAAGCAGACAAATTAATTTGAACATTTCTGGAATATCTCTTGGTATGGTTGGAAATCTAAAATTATTAAGTTTATAGGCATTGTGGCCATTTTTGATTTTAGGTATAAGCATTTATTCACTTTTTGCCTTGTTAATATCATAGTTCTTTCAGTAGTTCTTGTATTGATTTCTTTGTTGTTCATTGAATGTTGTTTTGTGTTTCTGTTCCTGCATGGTGTTATACCTCATGTTGTCTAATGGCCTAGACATTTAGGTAGACACCTTGAAATGTGTGTTTTTATAGTCCCAATTCGATGTCCCATGGACACACAATCGCCACTGAGAACCTCTGATGTGAACACTCAAAATGTGAACACTTTAGGCCAGGCTTGGCAGCAATCAAAATTGGACAGGTTTAGCTGTACCTCATTTCATATAGGATGATATAATGATTTACAATTCTGTTCCGTTTTTCTACAATGACGTGACTGTATAATTTTCCCATTTACAGGCTGTGACTAATAGCAAGTAGAGAAAATTGAAACAATATATCATTGCCAGCTACACTGTTATGCCACAGATGATACTAGCTCAGGTTAATTTGCCCTCAAAGTCAGGGTATTCATCAAACTTTAATATGGGATACTAAGTTTAAACGTAAACCATGGTATACCATGTTCAATCATGATCAGCAATGGAATTACAATCAACTCTGACCATGGTAAATTTTTATCATTTTTCCTCAGTCTTGTGTAGATACTTGGAATTTAAGGGACTTTTAGACATTATTGTGGGAGGCCTATTATTCTCTTGGATACATAAGACGGTTTGGATAATGTGTTTGTCCTGAGAGAGCTTTTTGTACCTCACTAGAGGATGTATAGGGACTGAGGGGAGATATACATATTTCCCGAGGGATAAACCCTGTATCCAAAATAAACTTTACATTATTGGTGTTTTCTGCCTATAGTTGGCTTACTAGTTCAACATTATTAACATCAGCATATCTGATTACCGATCACATATGAGATGTTGCTCAAAAAATGACCACTCCTCAGATATAGATATGACATATAGGTATTATCTACCCCAAACTGCATGGCCATTCTCAATACCAAATACTAGCCTTATAGCCTCATTATATAAGAGAAGATATATGGTTTTCATTCTAGTTTTCTCATTGATTAAAAATTGTTTATTGAGCAAAATCCATTAGTTAATATTACATTGCATCATTGAACCTCTGTGGATTACTCTACCTACCAATTCTTCTCCTACTTTATATTATAGAAAATGTCATGTTGTCAAAGGGACTTGTCATACAGTGACAATCTTAAAGGTTTTTGGTAACATATAAAAGAATAAAATCATTATTGATTTTGTGTAATTTGATTTCATTGTAGCTATTGTTTTAGAGGAAATGGAAGTTGGGTAAAATGGCAAGGGACAAAGCAATTATGTATTAAATTCAAACTCTTAGAGAATAAGATAACCTAGCCATCAATTCAAATTATAGAAAAAGATAATTATGCATTTAAATCTAACTCCTGGAGACTTAGATAGTCAATTCAAATTATAGAAAAAAGATATGATCATTGGGACTTTTAAACTAGGCTATCAACCTAAGCGATTACTAGAAGAGGAACGTATGTACTGTAAATCACATTAAATTCACAGACATCTTGAATGTTACACATGGGCGTAAAATTGCAAATTCAAGAAGCTGCAAATTTAAAATTTTATCCCTGGCTTAAAATCAGGCACTTGCAAAAATCGTAAAACATGAGTATGCAAAAAGAAACAAATGTACAAATCACGAATATTCCTTCTACGAATTATGCAATGTGTTTTACAGTATATTACATCATGAAACACCAGAACTAGGGTGCTTTAGGCCTGAATAGAAATTCCTGTAAACTCTAGGATCACTCAAAGCACAAAGGTTATTAATAATCTATACTTTGCTGTTGTGTGGCGTCGTTGAGTGATGTAATCGCTTAAAGATATTCCTCTGCAAATTGATTTCAATTTCCATATACACAATTTTACACAGGAATTTCTATTATATTGCAAGTTCCTGCACAAATGGAACATAGTTTTACCAATTTTAATGAAAAAAGCCATTTTTGGGACTCTCAAAAATTGCTCATTAAACTGATAAATATAATTTATATACCTCAGACTGAACTTTAATTGATTTCTGGATATTATCCTAAAAATGTATAGATTTTATTTATTTGAGTATTTTGCGAGGATACCATATTGAGAATATTAAGCTAGAAGGACAATGGGAATAGGTAACTCTTATATACAGGAATTTTCTAATTATTGGCATGTATTATCGCCATTCAGTAAGTAAATTGTTAAGAGATGTATCAATATATTGATTTACGTACAAAAAAAAAACGTAATTGTTTCAGGTTGACCTTCTCCTCCCCTTGAAACTTAAGTGACTATAAATTGATTCTTTTTGTAAAGAACAAGGAATGTTTGGTGAGAAACATTGAGGGACTCCATCTTCAATTCAAGATTTACCCTTTTCAGAAATAGTTCATCTGTAAATGATATTTTTGATTAGTGTTCGTACTGGCGATATAATTTTTCAAAGTTTCTTACCAAATGTACCTTTATATTTTCTGGAAAGTTTTGAGTCTTGGTTATCAATTCTTATATTGTTGAATATAATGAAATATCATTAAATGGGCAAATATCTAGGAATATAGGAATAGCATGTCATAGCGTAAGTCTAAGTCGACACTTGCCCTAGTCCAAGACCCTGCCTGCTCTGCCACTTCTACTTCCACCTGCCCCCTATTCTTATTCTTATATAATGCCATTGTGGCGATTTAAGAATTTACATGTCTGTGTATTTACATTTTTTGTATTCTATTGAAATAAATTTAATAAAAAAAATAAAAAAATAGCGTAAGTCTTAAGAATTTGCCATTCGTCATTTCCCTTAATTGTCAACTAATTGTTCTCTGGATACAGATTTTCAACGTGAACCAAAAGGTGTTGTTGAAATGCCATATTTATAGCTAAAGCTAAGGTGTCACCCTCCCCTATAATAACTTACAATTTTCATTGTAAATTATTATATTGATACATTTCCCTTTGGGATTCATCGTTTTCAATGTACCATAACATGGAAATGGGTGAAATTAATATGGGATAAATACATACATTATCCCCATACTTGATAATAATAATAATACTTTCAGTAAAAGTATAGTCTGGTCATTTTGTCTATCTTGATTCAGTTTCAGAATTAGAAAACAGATTCCCATTATTATGAAATCCATAGTTGCCATAGTAACTAATTTTAAATTGGGGGTTTCAGATGTGATATTCTCAACAGATTCTCAATGAGCTTTGCTTTAATAAAAAATTGTGGTTTATATTATTTTAAAAAATCAACCACAAATTGCACACAAAATTAACTTAATAGAGTTACCTTCTATAAGGTGACAGGCCTGGTATTTAGCGAGGATAATACATTTTTTTATATGTTAGGAAGTTTTATGGGGTATTATGTAAGGGTAAATTATGATGTAATAAATCAAATGCTGACTAATCTGTATTTCTTCCTCATTACAAAGAACAAAGGCCTATTTTTCATTTCACCCCTCGCAAAATTTTGAAAAGTGAAATATATTAATTATTAATATTTGGAAAATTTGACATGCATATTCTTTAATAGTTGCAGTAATTCTCGATTTCCCATTTAAATGTAAAATAACTTCAATTTTGATAATAATACAGATTAAAATCAGATCATCACTACTTGAGTTTATCAATATCCTTAAGGGATGTGTAATATTGCTTAATGAGATATCTGAGATGTTTAATGTTGGTTGAGTGATATACTAGAGTGAGAGATCTTCAGGCAATGAATGTAGCATGATATATTGTCAACTTGCAAAACCTGCTTTGTTTGGCTTGGTCATACTTGCTTGCTTTGACTTGTTTGTACTTGATTGCTTTGGCTTGTTTGTACTTGCTTGTTTTTCTTGTTTTTACTTGCTTGTTTGTACTTGCTAGCATTGACTTGTTTTTACTTGCTTGCTTTGACATCTTTTTACTTGCTTGCTTTGACTTCATTATAGTTGCTTGCTTTAACTTTTAACAGCTGCTGGCTCTGACTAGTGTCTGCCTGCTTGGACTAATTTGTACTCACTTTGACTTGTACCTACTTGTTCAAACTGTTTATACTTGCTTGCCTGTAACTTGCATTCACTTAGTTACTCCAATAACATCTCTGCTGTACTTTTACATAAGAGAATATCCAACACCATGGCTGACATGATTCCTTGTGTTACCTGTCAAAATAAGAATTTTACAATTAACAGTTACTTTATGAAACCATTATAAAACATACTATAATATACAGGGTGTCCAAGGCGTCTTTTTTACAATTACTGTGCATAGTCTATGTAAAGTGTTGGGAGACTTTCTGGACACCTTGAATTTTTGAGGCAATGTAATCTGGTCCCTCTATACTAGGTTAAAGTTGATGACTTTTCAATATAAGAGGTTTGAAGGAACTCTCTTATTTATATAAAAGATCAAGAAAAATTGTCCCTATTCAAAATATGGGAAACTAATGCATTAAATAATTGAACTAAAACTCTAATAATCAATAGATGGCAGAACCTGCTAACGTAAAATCCACTATGATTTAACAAATTCCATTCAATTAAACATATCAGTGTGCATCCATTAATTTACTTACCAATTTTATACTTTTCTTTGGATGATTCCATTTGGATAAATGGAAGTTTTGTTGAAAGTGTATGCATTTGAAATATAGAATTATCAAATATGTTTCCTATCTATTTTCAGATGGTGATATATTGACAAAGTTCTTGTCACTAGGGGTAACCGCATCCATAGCAATCTCAATTGGCAGTATCATACTTGTAACTGTCATTATTGTCTGTGTTGTTTGTTGCTGCTGTCGGAAGTGTCGTAAAGATTCAATACCAGATAACGTGACAACATCAGCGACGTCAGTTTCAGCCAGTGGGCCATATAAACCAGTAAATCAACAAAAACCAAGTATGTAATATGTTACCCTTTATCTTCAGCTTGCCTTACTCCACTCTACCTTTTACTAATGATTATACAGTTCTCATGTTGAGAATTCCTACAATCTGGAATACAGGCCTGTTTAATGGGAAAATCAATGTGAACTGAGCTAGGGTGTAAACTTTAAGTCTCGCAGAGCCTGATGATACTGCTATCAACTATATGTGCATTTTGAAAGTAATGATATTGCCACCATATCTTAATTTCTTTTCTTATTATTCAGATGCAGCAAACAACCAGTTCAATGAAGGTCCTAATGGGCAACAACAACAGCAGCAGCAACCATATAACATCCCTAATGGGCAGCAATTCAATAATAGACCAAATGGGCAACAATACCCAAATGATCATCCAATGACTGCATATAGTGGAAGTAATGGGCCACCAAGTATATACAGTAGCAACACCTCGGGTGTTACAGGTCAACAATCTGGCCATGGGATTAACTATACTCCCGCAACACATTACACACAACATGGTTACCAGCCCATGCATCAGGCCCCTGTAGGTGGACCAGGGCCACCCACAGGCCCATTTACTCAATACAATCCACGAGAATCATTTTCACAGACTGGATCTGGGTGTTCATCATCTCAGGCTCCCCCCTCATATCACCGCTCGTATACCCCCACGAGTAGTAGATCGGGTAAATCGGGGCGGTCAGGGGAGACTGGAGGAACTGGAAGTGTGTCTTATACTAAAACGGAACCAGAGAAAATTACGTTTCCGGTACAAGTGTAGTATTACATAGGCATTGGGAATCATGTTTGTAAGTCGTTTATGTCATGTACCAATGTGGTTATTCCCGATGCCTATATGCTGTGTGGCAGTCAAGTGTTAAATATTGACGTTCAAGAATTTTGATTTTGTACATATATGAAAGTTATTTATAAGTACTGTATATTGACGAGTTCACTCTGTTGTTGTAAATTGATTTTACATCTATACATGTATGTGTAAGTCCAAATGAAATAAAATGATCAATGAAATTATTTGATGTGAAATTAATGTAATTTGTTCTATGTATGTAGTATAATGAGATATAAACAAAATAACTGCCAAAAATATTCTTAATCATGGAATGAGTTAATTGTATCTTATAGATATAGACATGATCAGGAATATATGGCCAGCCATGTCATATTGTTATGTGATTTAAGGAACAATATCAATATATTGATGTATGGTCAATAAATGTAATGATTACATTTTGGGAGGGGGTTCAAGTTCATTGTTTTCTAATAGTAGCTAAATTGATTTTTCAAAGGATTTTTAATTGAAGGAGAATCAGTTTATGTTAAATTAATTTCGGTTAAGGGAGAGGAGTGAGTCTGAAATTACATTTTGAGACAATTGAGTTATTGACATGGTCCCCTTGTAAAGTATTCTGAGAAGTCATTGACATTTTCTTTATTGGTCATTTCTGTCAGCTAGACTGTCTTAAAATGTCTGCAATATTTCTCATGTTGTTTAATAACAGGTACTTTACATGTAATGTATATGAACACTTTTTTCAAAAATTTTAAATGTATAAATTAGTGTCATGAAGCTGTAGACAGTAAATTTCTATAATTATGAATTTTCAAAAGAAACTGGAAATCAGGAGTATCATTCTATCATAAAGTTATTTCAGAGTGATCATAAATTAAGTGACAATCAAACTAGTGTGCTGGAATCCCAGTAGAGGGCCACAGTGTAGACTTAGATCTGAATTGGTGTATCAAACCACTTTTTGTGATACATAGTTACCCATATTTGAAAATATCAAAGATGTAGATGTCATGTACACTTGCCATACACATGTACTTAAAATATTCTATAAAATGTAAATATTTATTTAACTACCAGTCAAGTGATCAATATTCAGAGCCCGCGAAATGTTCATAAAAGTCGCTTAAGAATTGTGCATTTGAATATTGTCAATGTTGTAGTATGTATTGTATTGTTTTTGCTTCATTATGTAGATTGTACAGAGTGAGCTACTACTTTTATTAAAAAACTTAATATTGTTTATTTTTAATTTTATGTTGGCCATTACTCAGTGACCATACATGTACTGAACCAACACTTTTGAAACAGACTTTTATTTTCAATATACAATAAACTTGTAGATCAGGTAATATCTCAAAAGTTTCTGTCTAAATTCTAAATATTGTCACTGTCATTTTGTGGGTAGGTTGTAAAATGTTGTAAAATTACTTTGTATTTATTCTAACGATGAAAGGAACTGAATAACATAAAACAAAAAATATCAACAATTTTACAGGAATCTAAATCAGTGTAAGTTAAGAAAAAATACAATTTCAATTTGAGCATATCTGTTCAAAATAAATTTTTCGTATCTTTTAGAAAGGGTGGATGGATGGTTGAATTGTTAACGGAAGTGATAAAATTCAGAATTTAGCTTGAAGCATCATTCAAATCTCCCAGAATAGTGTGTATTAAGAATAGGTACCATACATGCCATAACAATTATGAATTTAGTATTTTTGGTACCATGACAACAAAATAACTTACTTTCTCTTTCTTCAATGTTTATACATGTAAACAAGTGCAATGAACTCATGGAATATAATATATTGTACATAGTATCCATGGAGATGTGTGAGATATCTGGCTTAACTACTCATGCTGTCAGGCTTATGAGGATTGTAGTATTAGCACAAGACTGATGCTAGAATATACCAGTTTGAGGCTCTTGTTTGTTTAGCAGAGTACAGTGAAAGAGGGAGGGAGGGGGTACATTCACACCTGAAGTCCAATTCTTAATTTCTTGAGAGTGACAAACTATGATGTTGATAACCATTTTGATTTGACATGTAAAAAACAAAATGTGATTTTATTGTACATATGTTCACCAAGGCGATGGAGATTCTGCAATTATCTCTCCAGTATTGGAGTAGCCCCTGTTAAAAATTTGAAAATTAAATGCCACCCTATTGAAAATCACCCTGTCAAGGATTAACTTTTTAGAAATTTCAATGAAAGTGTTTTACTCATTTTCTTTCAAGAGAAAATCCATGCTCTGCTGAATGAACAATTAAATGGCCTTCAGTTAGATTTTTCTTTTTATTCAAACAACTGTGTTCCTAGAATGTTGGAATGTATTGTTTAGGGTGAATATCGCCCTTGACATTTTTGCTTGCCATATTTATCACAAACAACACAATGTTATATAATGTGAATTTGAAATAGTGTACTCATAGAAAAAAGTGCATTCGCAAATTAGTACCAGTACTTTCACAAAACCATCACTTAGAATATGTCAATGCTTATTTAACCAATAACCCAGGGTATTTTCCAGATGCTTTCATAAGTTTATGAATCCTATATCGATCATTTGAATCATATTATGATGTCATAGTGGCGAACAATGGATGAAAGAATTCTGAACTTTACGAAAGCTTCTGGTAATGATCCTAGAGTATTAATATTTTCTCAACGATTGTAGGAACGTGTAAACATACTCATACACATAAAGACCATCGAATAGTGATCTCTTAATACCCCATGACATGGTTAATTTTATATACACGGTATATACATCTATTGAAAATGTAAATAACTCTCTTAGTTTGTGATTTTCATGAATGTTTTTGTGGTTTCATCTTGGTGACTTGAAGCGTTTAAACTACATGTACTTAAAATCATGGTGAAATTCTAAACTTGTAACCAAAGAGAAAGTAAACAGAGCAACAAAAATCATGCATGGCTTTTTAGAAATCTACAAATGAAAGGAAAGTTTTCTTTATATTTTAGTTAAAGTATCATTATTTATTTTATACATGTATATGAGAGCGACAAACAGTACATCATGTATTATACACCCCAATGTGTACACCATTAATTTCACATGTTTTCATTTAGGAATGTAAATTGTATACATCCATTGTTCATATGGGAAACTGCCATTTTAGTGCATTTATTATGGATGCATCAGCAAGTATAAAAATAGTTTATCACCTCCATGTCACTTCAGAGTAAATAATATTTCTTATTTTTGATGAACTGTGTACAAAATACTTACAAGCGTGACACGAATGATAGTTTGATTATAAGGAGCTGAGTCAAAATTGCAATGTTTTGAATCAGTGCTTAAGCCCCCAAAATTTTTAGTTGTTGTCAATTGCTCAAAGACTGTTACGGTATATTCAATGTATATAAATAGCTTTGTCAATTGTTGCATGGAATGTATTATGTATTATTACACTACACCTACATGTAGCTATAAGATGTATTATTATCCCATCGAACGAAGTTCGGAGGGATATAGGGAACGCCTCCGTCCGTCCGTCCGTCCGTACGTACGTCCGTCCGTCTGTCCGTCCGTCCGGGCAATAACTCAAATACCGTTGGCCCGATTTTGTTCATATTTCTACACATATACCCTATGGGGGAAGAAGTTCTGCTCGAAAGCCGATTTTCAAAATGGCCGCTCATTTCAAAATGGCGGCCATTTTAGTGCCGATTTTACAGTAATTTAGGTACAATATGTAAAACTGTAATAGCAATATGTTTTAAGTGTAAAAAAATTATAAAGGACATTAATAAAGCTACAAATGTAGATATTAAAAAAGCACATGGCAGCCATCTTGAAAAATGGTGGCCTTTACTCGTTATTTTACGATTTTTGATTTTGTTCATATTTGGTATGTGAATACTATAAGCATGGCACACTGTCCTTTGACACTTTTGGTAGAAGGCGGCCATTTTGAAAAAAAATTTGAAAAATGGCCGCCATTTTAACATATTTTACTATAACTCGAAAAGTAGTGGAGCGATTTTGTTCATATTTGGAATGTGAATACTATAAGCATGGCACACTGTCCTATGACACTTTTGGTAGAAGGCGGCCATTTTGAAAAAAATTTTGAAAAATGGCCGCCATTTTAACATATTGGTATGTTTCATATTTTTTGTTCATATTTGATATGTGAATACTCACGAGCCTTGCACACTGTCTCATGACACTTCGGATAGTAGGCGGCCATTTTAAAAAATGGCTGTCATTTTTACATTTTTTACTTATTTCACAAGTACATGTGTGCGATTTTTCAAAAATTTTATAGGTGGCTACTAAAAGCATATTATTTCTTCTGATGACAACTTGGCTAACCATTTTGAAAATGGTGGCCTTTCTGGTGTGTTGTTTTATGATATTTGCTATATATTTCGTTTGTAAAAATACCAGCCATTTCTGTTTGATGGGATTCGCTACGCTTTGGCGTTGCCGTTGTTCTGGTTACACTACACCTACATGTAGCTCTAAAATGTATTATTACACTACACCTACATGTAGCTGTAAGATGTATTATTACACTACACCTACATGTAGCTATAAGATGTATTATTACTCTATACGTACATGTAGCTATAAGATGTATTATTACACTACACCTACATGTAGCTGTAAGATGTATTATTACACTACCGCTTTATGTAGCTGTGATATGTATCTTTACACTACACTAATATGTACTGTAATATTACACTACATCTTTATGTAGCTGTAATATGTATTACTACACTACACCTACATGTAGCTGTAATGTGTATTATTACACTACACCTACATGTAGTTATATGTTTTATTACACTCTACCTACATGTAGCTGTAATATGTATTATTACACTACACCTACATGTAGCTGTAAGATGTATTATTACACTACACCTACATGTAGCTGTAAGATATATTATTACACTACACCTACATGTAGCTGTAAGATGTATTATTACACTACACCTACATGCAACTGTAAGATGTATTATTACGCTACACCTACATGTAGCTGTAAGATGTATTATTACACTACACCTACGTGGAGCTGTAAGATCTAGCTGTAAGATCTAGCTGTAAGATGTATTATTACACTACACCTACGTGGAGCTGTAAGATGTATTATTACACTTAGCTGTAAGATCTAGCTGTAAGATTTATTATTACACTACATCTACATGGAGCTGTAATGTGTATTATTACACTACACCTACATGTAATATTATACTTATGTCACTCTTGTATTGTTTTTTCTTTTGTAAAAAATCTGTTTATGTCAAATAAATTTCATAATTTATACAATTTAATATTTTAGTGTTTTGTGAAATAGAATAAAATATATATATAAGACAGCATTGAAAGAGCCCAAAGGGACATTAAATTGCGTTGCAGTAGTCTCTACAGGATTTTTCTCAAGTGGGTGCAAAATTCTGATTGTCACAACTCAGACCAAAATATGCCAATTTTTCATGTTTTTTTCTCATTTTCAAGTGGGTGCAAGCATGTTTTTAAAATTACAGGTGGGTACTGCGCCCACTTGCTTTAATGCTGGGGTGATCACTGGGTTGTGTCCTGTACTGATTAATCATTAAAAATTGGTTCATCATTAAGTGTTGTGAAATGTAGTATTCTCCAAGTTTCCACCATAATCTATTTTGACTGGTTCAGGAGGAAAAATACCAAATTCTTCTCTCCACTCTTTGCACAATCTCTGCCATCCATTTTTCTCAGCGATGGTGCCTTCATCATGATGGAGGCCCTTTTCCTGACGATTCACGGAGAGAATTTCATCTCCGTAAAAGTTAGCAAACAGTGTGTAATGTCCTCTTGTGTGGACATAGTATGCATGCCATTGGGCCCACTGAGTGTATGCCTTGCCACTAGCCTCGAATCCCTTGAACCAATCAGTTGATATAATACCCTTCACATAAGGTTTGAATTTAGGATCTTGCTTTACTTCATGATACCAATCCACAAAACCTTTCCAGCTTCTCCAATGTGGGCTGAATCCCCATGAACTGTGTCTCTTGTATAGAAATACAGGGTGACTCTTCGGGACTATTATATATTTATTCCAGTATCTTGAAAGAGCAACTTTTGGATCACCCTGTAAGGTATACCCACTTATATCTTCTCTTTTGTCATATGTTTCATGGGCTTTTTTCAGCCATTTATAAAAGCATGGTGACACGGTCATATCATCTTCAAGATAAAGCACCATTTCTGGGTTGTCTTCATGTGGGTACCATGTCTCTATCCACTGGCCATAAATACCTGCATGGTCCTGTTGTACATGTACATGTGTTTCACCATATTTAAATTCAAAATTATTAGCAGCTTCATATGTAGGTCCATGCACATGTCCATGGAAATCACGGTCAATCCAGATATCAATGATGACACTATCACCATGAAAATCCACATCATTTAATGCATTAAGACACTTCAAAAGGGACTCATCCCTATTAAAAGCTAATACAATAATCCTCAGACTAACTGAATGATCCTGGTTGTATTTTAACTCATTTTCATCCACATTAACAAAATTATGATGGACTTGCATATTGTATGGATTTCCAGCTGGGAGATCATTTATTCCCCCATCGTTGATATCTTTCGGTAGTTTCCCGATGAACTCTTCCTGTTGTTTTATGAACATAAGTTGTCTCTTCTTTTCAATGGCTCTAGCTTTCTTAGATGCAAGATAACCAGAATCCAGACATATTATCACCAAGACGATTACACTGATAAGCATTAACATGGAATTGAAATTAGTTTGCCTCATTGTAATATTCCAATTGCAAATCCAAGTTAAACTATATTCATAAGTTTATTTAACTTTATTTTTAAGTTAAGTTTTTTACTTTATCTATTCATTGTTAATAATCATTTGTTTCCATTTAAAATTACATGTATATCTAATTATCATTACTAAGAAAGTTTTTCTACAAACTTGCAACCTATGTACATGCATATACACTCCCCTCCAAAAGTTTTGGAACAAAGACTATCAATTGCATAGTACGTTAGAGTATTACATGTTTATGTTGAAATAACCATTTTTATCCTAAGTAACAAGATGAGAAATTTATGATTAATTTTTCAAAAATCTTCAAACATCTTTTATACATATTCCAATGGGAGAGTTTGGGTTTCTTTACTTTTTGAGGGAGTGTAGAAATATAAAGTGCCTCCTGACCGCCTCAAGTCAAATGTAAGTAACAATTAATGTCAGTCTTACATTACTCTTAATGCATGTACTAGTACATGCAAAGCTTTATCCAAAAGATTTCTGAATGAGCTCAATCAACCACTAGTGCCATCTTTGTGACTTGCAATTTACAATTGATTGCGGTTTTAAATGTTAGAGGATGGGGAGGCAATATTGTCCATGTAGGTAATTGTCGGACATGTCCGACAAGCAACTGGATACACTGAGTGTCTGACAATTACCTACATGGATGACATTGCCTCCCTGCACTCTACAATCCAAACATACAAAACATGTTTTGTCAACAGAGGAGTAAAATTTATATGATTGCAAAATTACAACAGATTGTTCTCACCAGGGAGCTAGCTATTCTTATTAGATATACCAGTGATATCCTGTGGTGTTTGTATGATTTACACTGTATTTCACTCATGAAATAGATTAAAAATTAAAAGACTGCAGGAAGCCTATCTGTAGAAAGGGCATATTAGAGAGAATAGAGGTGTACATATATTGTTTACTACAATATTGCATATTACTTATATCATCTTGATAGGTTAAAAGAATTCTTAACCTTCCTAGTCTAGTCTAAATCTCTAGTCTATCTGGATATGATACCATCAAAATAAGAGAAACAGTGTATAAGGTCTTTAAAAAAGGTAAATGTATTTTAAGGAATTCATATCCATTTATACAGGGTAGCACAATTATGGTGAAAGCTTTCTTGTGTACATAGATTGTTCATTGCCTGAAGTGTAGCATCATGATAAACCATGACATCGCATTTCTTCTCAGCCTTGAGATGTTTCAGGTGAAACAGAAAGATGCTATGAGTATCAGAATGGAAGTGTAGTACTTATTTTGCATAAATGACAGAGATTTAGAGAAATTAAGTATAATGACAGCATGTATTGTATATATATGTACTGTCTAATGTCTGTCTACATCCAACTGTCATCATTCCGCCTTGTATCATTAATGGAAAGTTTAGTTCTAATGTGCTTTTTCCTCAATCTTTTGCCATGTTTACTCTTCAGTCTATTGACTCTTTTATGAGCCTTATGCACAACACCAGACTTTGTGCCTGTCTCACACAAAACCACCATAGCAACAGAATCTTTCAATTTCAATTCCGAAATCCTGTTTCTATAGCGACGTGAAACAGTTCCATCCTCTATTATATTAAAAAATGATCGGAGATTTCTCAACAAAAGTTTGAAATCTTTCAACAGAGTGGACAGATCCAGGAGAAAGATGCACAGTAAGAAGGTCAGCATTAAAACAGTTGCAGTGATCCCAATACCCTTTGCAGAGGCTCTGTCATCTGCATCAAATGGGTAGAATCTGGTAGGTTTGTGGCCAGGAGGATCAGCCACTTCAGCATTGATGTTGTTCTCGTCCATGTTAGCAGATCTGTAGATGTCAAATATGCCCCAAGGTAGAAAATAACTGTCAGCATTTTTATCTGGAAAGATTTATCAAAAACATATTATTTCTATTTATGTAAGCTAGCCTTACTTGTGTCTCTAGTCAATACTTGGCTAGAAGTCATGGCATGTGGACCACAGTCAATTCAGTAATGAAAACGTTTCTCCCGAAGAATTTGGCGGATTTTTTCAATCCGCCAATCCATCAAATTAAGACTGTTGCCAAAATAAGTGTATCTACAGAATATGGCACTGGGAGGATCCTTCTCATATAATTGATAATTCAGTTTAATGATGGGGAAGATATTTGAATCAGCTGACAAGCTTACATTGCTTATGCATAAATTTCACCAATTAAAGCTTGAGAAAATGACAACATTCTGACAAGTTCATTATTACCTGTACATCTTGATTCATTGATGTCTCCCTGCCAACCATCATATCCACACTGTACTGTCCATGTATCATTCAGGGGAGAACCATCATAGTGAACACACTGGAACACAAGCACACTGCCCCAGAGATCATCCTCCCCTAACCATCTAGAGCTAGGTATGTAAGGAGGTGGTCCACATCGAACCTCTGAAAATGCAATGTTGAATGGATACACTTGCAATGAAACCTCTTAATTTGAGCACATTTAGCCAGCCCGAGCATACTGTTTACTATAGTCAGGTTTTACTAACAAGTCGTATATTAATTAAAAGCCATTCATAATATTCTTTTTCAGAAAACATCAGACACCTTTGGTGTATGTAACAAATTGTTGAACTTGTAACCAATTTTATTTGAAATTGGTATTGTCATGTTAATGCCTATGTAATTATTTTCATTTAGTACTATTTTCACATATTTTTCATTTGATTATACACCATATTATGTCACTCATGATAATCACAAGTGTATGCAAATTGTTATCCATCACAATAGTATTTTTGAGAATAAATGAAATAAATGAACAAGTTACCCTCACACCAGGGTAACTCTCCACTCCAATAGCCACCTTCCATGCAGGTGTAGCTCTCATTTCCTCCAGTGAGTATGTAACCCTCCATGCAGTGATACTCTAATGTTGCTCCGGGCATGTGACTAGATATGTTCCAGGAACCATGCTCAATGTGCTTTGGGTCATCGCACATAACATCTACACCTAGAGCAATTTGTAAAGATTATCTGAGTTTTTATGTTATCACCAAAAAGTGGTGACATATTGTTATGGTCTCCGCTTTTTTAATGGCGGTGGTTGGTGTCTGAAACAATTAATTAAAACTTCCAATAACTTAACAAATACTGTTTAGACTGACTTCAGTTTTTTCAAAATCATCTACAAGTTTTCAGAAGTTCAAATCTGACTTTATATTTGAGATTTGACCTTCAGTGACCTTTTCAAGGTCAAAAAAGGTAAAAAAAAGTATTTTTCAACTTGCTTCATATTGACCAATTTTTTTCAAAATCATCTTCAAGTTATCAGAAGTTATATCTGACTTTAGATTTGACCTTCATTGACCTTCTCAAGGTAAAAAAGTCAATAAGGTATTTTTCAACTTGCTTCAAATTGACCAATTTTTTTTCAAAATCATCTACAGAAGTTCAAATGTGACTTTAGATTTGGGATTTCACCTTCAATGACCTTCTCATGGTCAAAAAAGGTCTTTTTTCAACTTGCTTCAAATTCACCATTATTTTCAAAATCTTTCTCAATAATATTGTGAGCAACTACTGTAGGTGGTGACATTTTGACATGTAAATGCCTTGTTATTATTTATTTGGTGGTGGTTTATATTGGTAACATGTACTTTTAATAAATATTTTTAAGTTGAGATCTTGTGAGGCTTTCAATAAAAATGCAAGGAAGTCCTTGCCTAAGATATTAGACTTAATGTTCAGTTTCACTTGAAAGAGCATTTTCTGCAATTTTGATAAGGATATTGCCTTTGTAGGCAGAGCCTTCCTTTCCAATGTTATCTATATAAGTGTTGTTAAGTAATAAAAAATAACAAACTTTAAAAGATGAATAATGCATGAAAAAGATCAAGGATATTCAGTGGATCTTTTTATCTATTTTCTGACCATATGATTAACAGGTATGAACTGATACCTTTCTGAGTGGTAGCCTCACAGATGAAGGGTGCTTTGACCATACAATTCGCGGAGTACACCTGGAACTGGTCATAGTTGCTCTGATGTCGTTTAGAGTTTGAGATCATCAAACATTTCTCATTAGACAATGGCTTATCTAAATTATAATATGGATTAATAATTGCACTCAGTTATAACAAAAAATTACAGAGGATAATACTTTTTAAATATTAATATTTTAGTCTTATCCATTAAAACTCCTGTTTAAAATTTTAAAAAGTTTTTCCCAATATTTTTGTTTTACCATGTTGAATTTGTTACTTTTCCTTGAAATATAATTTTGAAAATTCACAGTATTTGAATAGAATTTAGCATAACAATTAGAGTATGGATTCAAATAATGGATCCATTTCATTATAATTATAACTATTTCAAAACAACATACCACTGCTCATATGGTCAATTTCAGCTTGCTTTGATTCGATTCTTTTCTCCCTCAACCAGTACATGTGGGGTCCCTTTCCCCGTGCCATCTTTTCCAGCTGCCTCCCTATTTGCTCTTTCAGCTTTAAACTTGCAACAGTTGTCTCCTGGTGAAGTGCCCTGCAGTAAGCAACAGCTTCTTCCTGATTCAAATAGGTTGCTATGACCATGAAGCATTTATTCAATATCTTGAAATCCCATCTTATAGTGTTATCCGTCTCTTCACAACCTAGAATGGAATATTCACATTAATTAGACTTAAAGTAAAACTTACTTTGAACACTTCTCTAAGGATAAACACCTCTGTAAGCTGAACACTTTTTAAGCTGAACCATTTTTCCATCCTATACATTCTTTAGATTTAACGGCCTAGATTTCTTTTGTACTTAGTGTTCATCTCAGAAAAGTATACAGGTTAAGAGTAAATGATGAATAAATGAAAATGAATAAATTTTGAAGGAATAAATCAGTCAATAAAGCAAGACATAAAGGTTCAAATATAAAATTCAAATAAAAACAGATTGAGGGTAACGGAAATTGATATTGTCACAATTGCAATGATTGGTATTTTTCCTTTTGTTCCATTTATGAATGTACAATTACAATGTATCTACAATTTGTAATAAAATGATAAGAATTCCTACCTTGTAAAGCATTTTGCAATTCATTCTGAGGCAAAGTTATTTTCCTTGAGGATAACACACTGATAAGTTGACAAATTACCATTAAATATCTCATGGCTGTCTGAACAAAATAGCCAGTGATATCAGATTATCACCCTCCCAATACACATCTTTTCAAAGCTCATATATGATTTTCTATGCTAATGTCATCTTTGTTCTTCTGTTTTTACATGTTTTAGGTACTAAGTAGAGCTTGTAAGCCTTTAAAATTTTTCTTGCAAAACTTTAATCTTTTCCTCATCAGAACATATACAGTTGCAGCAGTTCATCTTCCATTTCCCAGTTTGTGTAAAAAGAGAGAATGTTGAAATATTCGCAGCACGCTCCTTGTTGTGACATAAGCTATTTAATAACGGAGAATTCTGTAATAATAAGCGTATAATGTTCACTTTACTCTTCGTTTTTCTTAGAATTATTGTTTTTTAATCATCAGAAACTCTACAGGAAGAAAATGGATAAATCAGTTGTAGTGTCGGATTAAGCTTTTACATCAATTAGAATTCACCAGCTTATACTATGGATTAGAACTAATCCTATAATATACATAATAAAAACTGTATTGTCGACAGTCAGGTACATATCCAAAATCAGTTTTCAGCAAGGGAACATTTTTACTTTTCCAAGAAGTATTTCCACTGATTTCCTATTAGGTGTAAGTTTTGCTGAAAATTTAAAAAAACAAAAATTCAAAAAATATTCACCCAATATTGACAAAAAAAAAACAATTTTTATGTATCCTGCAGAATTGTATTGCTTATTTGGATCTGATTGTCCTATATCTCAAGTTGAAACATTGAATCTGATACACACCAATCATAAGACATTTGACCGTTAAAGGGCCAGGCCAATATTTTGATGTATGAAATCTTTGGATCCGAAATCTTCAAAATATGGAATTTCTTAAGTTTTTCTTCTGTAGATCTCCCTCTAAGCAATTTCCCTCTAAAGTATTTTGTGATCACTTGGGTCCCTTTGAGGAATCAGAACAAGGCAACAACAAATATATAATCCAATTAGTTGATAGATACTCCTTAAGTATCTAACTGCTTTCCCTTGTAAATCAACTTTTGTAAGACGTATTAAACATAGATCTGTAGATAAAAGCTGTCATTCAAATTGATGTGTGGATGTTCCCAAAACATTTTCACTGGTTTCTGTTTGGACTGAAAACAGATGATATGGATCTTCAAACCAGTCTGCATTATGATTTATAAATGTCTCAAATTACACTTGGAATGAATAAGAAAGCGGGTACCAGTTCACCCTTCTAGCCAACCCAAGCAAAATAATATTACATCTATTATTTTACATTGTTGATGTGAGAAGAGCACCAATCTTCTTTGAGGGAGATCAATAGAATTTTTTAAGGAAAATCCATATTTCAAAGATTCCCGATCCAATCCACCTTTTACATGAATCCAATCCACTCGATCCAATCCACCTTTTAATCTTTACCATAAGAATCCTATTTGTGATTAATGGATTGTTCGAAATCCATTTCAAATATCATTACCTGGAGATCTTTTTGAATTTTCTAGGAAAGCTTCACACATACTGAGTATACAAACCAAAATACCTGACTTAGACCAGTACCTTCTTGGAAAGGAAGGTTGGTGCTACATTTATTGGACAAGTTCTTCTAAATGGTCAAAATATCAGTATGGCTATTTTAATTAAATTTAAAGTGGTATTTTATAATTTAGAAGGACTATGCAATGCAGTCTCTTGAATGTCAATGTTACATTTTAAGAGAAAAACTGTTATTCAAAAGAGCAAGCAACTACACTTTCAACATAAAAATAAAACATGTTATAAAAACAAAACAATAAAGGGTATTCTTTTTATATGATCTTAATTTTATATTTAAATTAAATAAACATAATTCAAATTATTCTAGAATGTTCTACCAGCATGCATGTTTTATAATTTCTTGGGGACATTTGCAATTATTGGTTTAGGCCTGGTTTTGAAGACTAATTTTCTTGTTATAACGGCCTGCACGAGGTAGTGAATGTCTTTATTGTCTATTTTAATGTCAGAGTCATTATCTGTTAATGATTTATCCAGATCTGAATTGGAAGAAGTGTCCATTTGTTGATTTTTAGACAACACGGCCAAAGGTTTTTCAAGTTTTACGATTTTTCCATGAAGTATGTGATGTCCAATAATCATGATTGGTTGGTCACTCTGAAACATAATTCATCTACATTCTATTATGTACATAGATTTTAAGATATTAAGATTATTGGCATTATAAAACAAACAGACATACAAACAAACAAAAAAACAAACAAATAATTAATTATGTGATGAAACTTAGTTATAACAGGTGCTTGTAACTTTATATATTCTCTTTAAGAATTTACAAAACATTGTCGAAGATTCTAGTTTTGCATGAAATTCCTGTCCCAACCCTAATCTCTAGAATTCTAGGAAAATTAACTTCACCTTCATTAAATAAGTTAATCAAAAAGATGAACACCAAGGGTTATAGTAGTTGCAATCCCTGAGTGAGAATACAAATACATTATTATGGGTTTCATAAGCAGCAGGCAACAGGCGGTGAAAATTGCCTGTTGTTTTTAAGGACTTTTCAACTTTCCCATGTTATATTTATGTTTTCCATTAATTTTGCCTGTTGCTTTCCTTTATTTAGCCTGTTGTGAGAAATTCTAGTGGAATCAATGGTATATGAAAATGTGCATGTACCTTGGAAAAGTGAAGCCCTCCTATGTATTTTCCTGACAAGCCTGTCTCATTCCTTGACTGGAGATCTCCTTGAAGTTCTAATATGGCCCATTCTGGACAGTTCTCTGGATCACCAGGGCTACAAAACACAATTCTAAATGTACAAAACCAATCAAACACAAGAGAAATATTTAATCAAGTTGACCCTTGTCATGACAGTAAAACACACATTGTCTCAGATGAATAGTGAGGAATGAGTGATTAGACAGTGACAGAACATTATGATTCTCATGATGCTTTGAACTTGAGAATTTTTTCTCGGAGATCATGACTGTCGCGTGACTGTAGCCTTTATATGACTTATAAAAGGGAGAAAATTTCCTGTAATATTGGTATATTAACTACAAAATCCACTTGTTGGGTGATTTGTCCAGGACCTTGCCAACTGATTTTACTGATGTATTACCATTTTTTGTAGAAACACTGATTTCTGACCTAAAAAAGGCTCTCTCTTCGACAAATGTTTTTTTCCTCTCAGATAGGCCAAGTTCCATGGTTTATGCCCTAAGCCAAAATTGCCCATGCTGCACATAACTTATCCCGTGCTAGGACTATAGTCCTGGACCGAGCGCAATCTTTTGCCTGTACGATTACAACTTGGGAGAATTATCTACACCCCACAATTGTCTGGGTTTATCAGCAGAACGAAGAAATTTTCGATTTTGATTGTTATATTTGCGTGTAATATTAAACTTATTTCAACTGTCAAATTCCTCCATTTATTGGTACTTCTGGGCCACTTCGATTGTTCATCGAGTTAAAGTTTTACAGACCTATTTCCAATATGGCGGTTTGCTAGGTGCGAGATACGCAACGAACGAAATGAATTTTGAGAATTAGTTAGGTTCGGACAACCTCCGGAGATTTACGAAAATGTCCGAGCAGAAACCGCCATATTGGAATTTGGCAGTAAAACGATTCACTCGACTAACAATTACAAGTCTTGATCGAAAAAGAAGTACTCCAGCGCTCCAATACTTACACGGATTGATGATACTGATGTAAGACACAGTTAGAGACCAAAAGTAAGCCGCGGATCGACTTAATTCGATTTCAAAGGTCACGATCATTGAGCTGTCCAAATGCTCCGTGGGAAAGCTATTATATCAAAATCCAAATAGCTTTCGCAGGAAGTAAATTGCACAGTGGTCTCCCAATTTCTTATTTTTGCCGTTCTACTGACGAAATGAAGCAGTGAAATGGACTCTAGTCCTGGCACAGGATAAGTTAGACCACAGGCAATGGAACATAGAAATAATCCCCCCCACTCTCTATATATAAGTAAAATAAATTACGACAATTCAGAATCGGGAGTAGATTACTGGGCCAGACGGGTTTGGTTAGATCAGTGTCAGATAAGCAGTGGAAAATTATTTTGATTTTTTTGATAGATCTAGATCTAGATGGAAACATAAATGCTGACATTAGGATCCGTTCACAGTAGAACCATACTTACATTTTAACGTATAGCTGAACCATTTTGCGTACAGAGTGAATGTACACGTTTAATTTGAATAAATATCTATTTCGAAAGTTTACAACTTTTCCCGCGAGCAAATTGAATCCGGAAATACATTGTTACAATGAATTTGATTGGTCCTATTTCGTTTCAACCAATCAAATTAGACGATGTTCAAGAAGTCGGGCCAACTCAACATTTTCACGTGAAATCCAAATTTGTAAGTTCTTTTTAGTTTTTCTCTGTAATCTATTGATGTTAGTTTTATTTCAGTTATATTTTTTATAGATTTTAGTAAATGGAAAACCTCCAGTAAAACGAACAGTTCAAGTATGAACATATTCGTGTAAAATCTACATCATAGCATATATTCATATATTATCGCCCGGAATATTTTAAATACAGTAGCCTGTAGGGTACATGTACATTACACAGGCATTTGTCAAAGAGGATTGGCTCCAAGAGTGCAACATCAATATTCTGTTCCATATATGGTCATGTTGTGATCACAGGAACTTGTAGCACTATGAGATGCTTATTTCAGATCTGAGTCCGAACTCCCGTGCAGTGATATATCACTGCGGCGGGCAGGTGTCTCACCGTAAGCATGGTAACATCGTAATAAACAACTGACGTGATTGGTTCTAGTCCCAAGCTCAGGTCGCGTGATTGTAAAATTTAGACAATTTCATTGGTTGAATTGCGCGTATTAACTAATAAACAACACGTGCGGTAAACTTTTATCAACACAACTTTTACTCAGAATTCCTTCCGCGGGGATTTGCTCTTATATTTCATTGATTTTGGAATATTTTGACAAAATAATTATTGGTGAACATAAAAGAACATATATTTTATAAGTTGTGTGAAAAACAAGTACATCTGTGACAAAAAGGGGGACTATCTTCCCCAAATTTTGGGGATTCCATAATCTGCCCGCCGCAGTGTCTATACCGAGACACTGCATAGGAGTTCGATCTGAGTCATTTAGAAAACCATAGGCCAAGGGAAAAGTAATAGTAAGCTGACAGGTGAACAACTCTGACTTAGACCACTTGTTAAGATGGAGATTTCAACAATATTTAGTGTATTATTTTCAAAAAGCCATGGGGAGTTGATAGAAAATTGATAGTTTGTAGCTCTTATTTAAGATTGAAACTCAGTCAGATGATATAGAGTGAATAATGCTGTCTAAAGAGAGAATTTCTGAAAACCTGCAATTGCTTGGCAAGTTCATTACTAAACAAGTGATCTGATTGGTCACTGCTGACCTCCCTGACCTCCACCAGTGACAATCAGTTTCAGCTTGCCAGGCAATTGCAGATATCCATAGTTGTTGTTTTATATGCAGTATTATATGCAGTTTTTAGATAAAGATTTGAAAAAAACAATGATATAAGTTTGAAAAACACTTTGAAGAAGATTTTGGAGAGATTTGGGAATACAATTTGATACCAGTAAGGAGAACTAGTGCCAAGACTAAAAAAATTTGAAAAAATTTTCAATCTTACTTGTGGACCTGTCTCTTCTATATACAGCTTACTATTACTTTTCCCTTGGCCTATGTAGAAAACAGTAGATCTAATGTTTGTGAGTACTTTGAATTTAAAAAAATAAGCAATCAAATAACCAAATTGAAACAATTTATGTAAAAATAGAAACATTTATATTTATCCTTACTTTTGTATATTTTAGTTTGTTTTCTAGTTCAGCTATCATATCTGTGTCCTCTTACACTCATTTTTTTTATTCTGTGAACACTGCCCCCAGGATTCCGTGTTTGCAGAGCGCGGACGGAATTTGCCTCTGCCCGCGGAATTGCAGAATCAACTATTTTGGTCAATTTCCGCGGAATTTTCCGCAGAATCCATATATTTTCCAAAAGTTTAAAAAGTCAGTCTTACCTGTAACAATTTGACACGTTTTCAGTCAAATCCCTTGCAGAAATAACCCAAATTATGCGAAGTGAAAATTCTAAACGCCATCGTTTGATTTCTGCCGTTAGATGGCAGCATGTATGTAGTGACTGACTACCTGACTATCACGATATTTTCCCGTTTACTGGTTCGAAAACCATTAATATCCGCGGAATTTCTGCAGAATTAGCCCTTTCTTCTTGCAGAATTCACTAATTTCACTTGCAGAATTGAGCATTTTAACTTGCAGAAAACTGGGGGGAGTGTGTGAATCAGTTCATATGGTTAAAATAACGAAAGAATGTGATGTAACTACGTGTCTACTTACCGGCTTGTTCTATGTCATCCATCGGACTAGGTTACATCGTGGAATGCAGCCGAACAGGGCACTGAAGGCAACAGCATATCTATCTTGATCTTAGCCAAATTTTTGGAAATTTAGATCGTCCATTTTGCAAGCTCACGTGACTGACACGTGACACATGTCTGATCACGTGACTAGTTACTGTATCGATCATGTGACTTAATCACGTGTCAATGACGTGTCACCCAACCATGTCTTCAAGGAAAACGGAAGTAAATATTTTGGAAAATGTTTTCCGAGCATTTGCTACTGATTATAGAAGGCCCAATTACGCAACGAACAAAACTGCTAAATTGTATTTCGTGCCTAACAGGCGCAGTACGCAATGAAAGAAACTGCTAAATTGTATTTTAGAGCTGTTTATTGATCTATTGATTCATAAAGACCTGAAATGATGCATTCAAATAAGACCGCCTCCTAAATGAAAAAACAGTACACATAAGGTGGTGAAAAAGAACGAACTAAAGTTGAAAGATCGCAACGTTCGCTACTTTGTTCAATTCCGGAAATCTCCAAGGGGCTGCAAAGGGAAATTATTTAGATTTTGATTTTATAACCTCAGAATACTGGCTTCATACCTTTATACCTTTATACCAATAGTTCTGGAAGAAGGATGTTTCCTATATGATCCAGATCTTTTTGTGTTGTTGTGTCTTAATAATTGATTGGGGGGGGGTAGTTGTTATAATGCTCACTGGACATGGGTTTAGAGAATCAGCTATGGTAGTGGTACATCTGGCTTGCTAGATGTCTGTCTATTTCATTCTTGAACTGGTTGATACTTTCCACATCAATGGCAGACTGGGGTAGACTGTTCCAGGTATTCACAATTCTGTTGCCAAGGACATTTTTTCTCACATCAAGTCTGCTGTATCTATGATTTAGTTTTTCTGTGTTTCCTCTTGTCCTGGTATTATCTGATTTCTGGGCGATGTCACTGATTTGTATTCGGTCGTAACCTTTTAGAACCTTGAAGATTTGGATAAGATCACCCCTTATTCTTCTATACAGTAAAGAGGGGAGTTTTAGTTATCTCATTCTTTCTTCATAGCTTAAATCTTTCAATGGTGGTACTAGTTTTGTTGCTCTTCTTTGTACTCTTTCAATTTTGTCAATATCCATATAGGTGTGGGGGTTCCAGACACTGTTTCCATATTCAAGGTGAGGCCGGACCATGGATTTATATAGGAGTGGTAAGGTGGTTCTATCAAGATGAGAGAAAGTTCTTTTTATTATCCCAAGAATACTGTTGGCTTTGGATACTTGTTTATCGACATGTTGGTGGAACTTGAGTTTGCAATCAATATTGATTCCAAGGTCCTTTTCCAATGTTGTTTGCTCCAAAGTTTTGTTGTTCATGGTGTAGTTTTGTTTCTCATTGTTGGTACCTAGATGCATCACCTTACATTTATCTGTATTGAAAGGGAGTTGCCATTCTTTTGACCAGTTTGTTAAACTGTCCAGATCTGTTTGTAACTGTTCTTTATCTTCTTGGTCTTTAACTTTTCCATACAGTTTGGCGTCATCTGCATACATAAGAAGCTTGTTCCGTGTGGCATCTGGGAGGTCATTTATAAACATTGCAAATAGGGATGGTCCAAGGCAGGTCCCTTGAGGGATACCTGAGAGAACAGGGGCCCACTCAGATGTCGTTCCATTCACTGATACTCTCTGGAGTCTATTAGTTAGAAAAGATCTGATCCAGACAAGTACAGAGCCCGTTATTCCATAAGATTTCAATTTTATGAGCAGACGTTCATGCGGGACACTGTCGAACGCTTTGCTAAAATCTGTGTAAATTGTATCCACAGGGTTCCCATCATCGATGTCTTTGATTATATCCTCAAGGTAAATCAAGAGATTAAGAACTGTGGATCTTTTGGGTACAAAGCCAAATTGGTCATCTGTCAGTATCTCATTTTTAATTAAGTGTTCTACAATTTCATCTCTCACGATTTTTTCCAGCATTTTCACTACTATTGAGGTTAGGCTAATTGGTCTACAGTTACTTGGCTTTTTCTTTCTGTTTGTGATGTTTTGTCTTGTTTTTTCACTTCCTTTTTTGTATATGGGTGTAATGTTGGCATATTTCCAATCCTTAGGGAGTGTGCCAGATCTCATGGATTTATTGAAAAGTAGGGTGAGGGGGGTGATAAGGGCTTTAGCTGCTTCCTTCAGAGGGTGGGGGTGGAAGCCATCAGGGCCGGGTGACTTATTTGTATTCAGCTTCGACAGCTGGAGTGCTACATTTCTTCTGTGATGTTTATTTCCTTTATTTCCTTTTCATATGTAGATTCTGTCATTTTTGGTATGTTATTTAGGTCTTCTTTGGTGAAAATACTTGAGAACTGTTTGTTCAGAGCCTCTGCTTTTTCTCCATCTGTTGTCGTCTCAGTTCCATCATCCTTCAGTAGGTTAGAGATGGGTTCCTCTGTGTCCTGTTTAGATTTGGTGAATTGCCAGAACTGTTTTGGATTTTCTTTAACTTCTAGAGCAATTTTTTGTTCATAGTCATAACTAAGTTTGCGAGTATATGCTCTTAAATTGTCTCTGGCTTCTTGGTAATGTTTTAGATTCATTTCACTTTGGTTGCTTTGTAGTTCTTCCAATATCTTTACTTTTTACGACTCATCTTTATGGCAGTTTTATTAATATATTTATTTTTACGTTTATCCCTTCTGGGGGTTATTTTGGGGATACATTCTTCTATGGCTGCATTATAGGTAGTTTTGAAGAATGACCAACTATCCTCCATGGATTTGTTATTTAAAGGTGCAACAATAAGTATTAGTGCAGAGGGGCCATTCAACGATCATGGACCAGTGTCAAAATATATTTAAGTTTGGATATTTCATCAAGACTAACATCTATTTTTATTATCCACAGAAAAACCCACTAGATAAACATTATTTCAGCATATATTCCTCTTAAAACATGGTGGATCTTAAAAATATAAAAGCGGATTTCCCCTTTTTGAAGCTTTGAACTGAATTTACACTTCTTAATGCTGAAATTGATAGTTTATACATACATTTTAAGAAAATAGGTCTGTCAAAGAAGATGTTAAGCCAAATGTTGCCTTGATAGCTCATAAAAAGTTAAAATTTTCCTATTTTCTCTCTACAGGCCTTGTTGCCCCTTTAAATTGTGATTCCAGTCTGTTTCACTCAGTATAGTATTCATTCTTTTGTAGTCACCTTTATTGTAAGCTAGTCTTTACTTTAATTGTTTTTTGAGTTTCCTTTTTTTGTTATAGCTGGTTTTTATCAGTAAGCATTCATGGTCACTTAGTCTGATACCTGGCAGGTGTTCAAAATATTCAACTGTGTTCTCATCTTTGGTTAGGATCAAATCACATATACTTGGCCTACTACTCCCTCTGGATCTAGTTGGACTTTCCACATGCTGTATGAGGTAGTTGTCATTTATACAATTTATAAATTTGTGTGATGGGTGACTTTTACAATCTGAGGTAGTGGTTGTTTCCCAGTCAATGTTTGGGTAGTTGAAGTCTCCTACTATGAGTAACTTGTCCCATCCTTCACATGCTCTATTTATTTGTTTGATGAGATTATCATTATTTTCCACGTCTGAGTTTGGGGACCTATATATGGCTCCAATTAACATATTTTCTGACTTTTGTTTTGTTTTCATGTTAGAAGTGATTTCTAACCATATACTTTCACTATATACATCAAATATACATCAAATTTTTAGATCAGGCAGAACAAGACACGTTTTATTTAGCTCCCACATTTTAGCAAATTTTGTGTTGAAATAATCTATAGACTTGAACAATTTGTGTACAGCATGATACCTAAAGTACTGGAGAACCTCATGGATTTACTGTTTCAACAAGGACAAGGATTTATAGACTACAGAGTAAGAGGAACATCTGGGGAAACAACAGTAACATTGAAATTTTCAACTAGCCATGACAGTACAGAGGTCAAACAAATGAACAGCAAGGTCAAGCGTGATAGAAATAGGATTAGCCGTTTCAATGAACAGTTTGACACAGCTGATTCAGGAAACAATACACGGAGTAGTTTTACTTCTAGTGGTCAATCAAGCATGGACTTAAATCCACAAGCAACAAGTACACCTCATTTGAATGAAAAATCAACTCAGGCTAAAACATTTCCTAGTCAAGAAATTAAGGGACCGTATCAAATAGCTCAGAGACGTTTGGTGGAGAACATGACACATTCAACAAATATGAACACACAACAGAGCAACAGTGATCATTTGGAAACCCTATATAGTCCCTTAGAAGTAACAAGCAGTAAACCAGGATTCGAACCATTATCCCAAACAGTTAACATCAATAACATGGTCAAACCTTTACAAGGAATTATATGCTGCAATATCAATGATCAAGAATCACAAACAGAAACAGGAGGGATAAAAAGTAGCAGTGAGAAGAGAGATAAAGCAGTTCAGTGTACCCCTTACATGAGAACTGTTGAAACACAAAGAACATTATCAGCAAAATCAAAATCAACAGATACCATCCAACTCATGAAATTGAATCACAGAAATGTACAAACTGGGGTAACTGAGGATGATTTGTCTGACGAGGAAGAAACTACAACAGAGGAATTTAATGAGATGTGCCAAGCCGCTTTAAAAAGATCACTCCTAAAGTTTGACAGCATGTTTAAGCTTGATACCAAGATATCGTTCTAAACAATTAATCGCTCTTTTGAATTAAACAAACAGTATCTCCTCACTTACACAGTGAAACCGTGCCTAACACAAATAAAGGATATGAGACAGAATCACACACTTATTAAAGATGATATAATTTTAAACAATAATTGTAACATATTGGTTTCAATAAGTTTTGACTTAAAAGGGGCTTGAATTAACGATACTCATATACAGAATAGTATAGAATAGTTACATTCTTGAATAATAATCAATGAACAGTTGTGCCATTAATATCTTAATATTCCTATCTTATCAGCAGGTATTATAACATCTTCTGAGGTATCTAATGACCGTCTCAAGTTGTTCTGGATCTCAAGATACACAGGACAAGTTTAGATATAGCGCAAGAGGATGAAGACTGCTCTGTATAATAACATTTTATCTGTTTATAGCCACACATTTTTTGATTCAGGTCTTTTGGCTTATGATGCCCCTTCAAGTTATATTTTATATCAATAAATTAAGTAAATTTGAATTTGCATTTGAAATTCACAGAAATGCTCTGATGATCTTTAACGGATTTAAAGAAGCATTATTGATTACTTATATTACGTAACATATTAGTTTTAAAATGTACATAGTATGACGTTATCTGAGGTATTTAATAACCGCCAAGTTGTTCTTGGATTTCCAGAAACATAGGGCAATTTTAGATACAGCAAAGGTGACTATGGATACTTTGCACATTTTATTTCTAGCATTTTGAAATATTGATGCCTTTAAAGTATTACAAAACTGTTATTTCCAGATTCAACATTAAATACCTTATTGTTCGATTGACCTGTATATTATAGTCATGAATAAAACTGGAATAAAAAAAAAAAATAAATAAATAATACATCAAAGTCCATAATATAACACTATTTACAATGTCTGTTTTTATGTATACAATAACTCCTCTCAATTTATCAGTTTGTTGTGCATCACCAAAATTTGATATCATACTGTAATTGTCTAATTTAAAAACTTGTTCTGTAAAAACATCATCATAATTTTTTGGTAATACCTCAACGATGATCATAATATCTGGGCTGTGTTCCATGGTTAAAATCTTAACTTCTTCAAGCTTGTTAGTTAACGTGTCTGCATTTGTGTACATAATATTCAGATAATCATTTTTAAGTCACCAGGCTGCTGCTCCATCCGGGCGATCTGAGTCTGATGACTCATTCAGGTTCACAACTACTGGATTCATTCGAGGTGGTAGAGGGGGTATTGTTTGAATATTCTTGGGGGGTGTTGGCAATTTTCGGTGATATCCTTCAGATTTCTTAGTTTTCGGAGAAGTGTTACGATTTGGAGTTGGTAGCTTATACACCACATTGTCGTGTTTGGCTGTGTTCCACGATGTAACCTAGTCCGATGGATGACATAGAACAAGCTAGTAAGTAGACACGTGGTTACATCACATTCTTTCCTTATTCTAACCATATGAACTGATTCACAGAATAAAAAATTTGATTGTATATTTTGATACTTCTCTGCCATGTTACTGTATTTTCGGAAAAATTAACATGGCTGAAACTCCCTAAATTACAAAAGGCCACAGGTTTGATGCACATTATACATTACTATCTGAAATATACAAAAGTTAGGATAAATATAAATGTTTCTATTTTTACATAATGGTCATTTGATTGCTTATTTTTTAAATTCAAAGTACTCACAAACATTACTGTTTTGACTGTATACATTTATGTATGACGCATGTATAGACTCAGATCTGGCATAAGTATCTCATATCATAGTGCTACAAGTTTCTGTGGTTGTAGTAACAACATTTCAACATTTTCATGATTGGCGGAAAATATCAAATTTCAAACCCTAAGAGCCAATCCTCCTTGGGAATTTGTCGAGACAGAAACAGAAGTAAATACGTATGTAAAATAAGATAATTGTGCCATCTTCTTGTTTGGGAGCTGTCAACCCAAAACCAAAAACTGATTGACCAGTAGTCCCACAATTTGTAAAAAAGTACATGACATACAGGGGCATATAGTCTATATCCAATAGACTGAATTTCTTGAGAATTCATTCTTTTGATCATTATGTCCCTCATGTGTGAAAAACAGGAAATTTCCTGCACAAAATTATCAATTTTAGAAAGCCTCACTATTCCCAAAGATAAGTATATAACAATTCAATTAAGTAGTAAGTACTATAAAACGCTATAAAACGTAACAAAGCATATGTATTGTCAAATGGAAATAAAGCTAGGGAAAGTAACAAATATGCAAATTAATTTACCCAATCAGCCATTTTGAAAAGCACTTCCTATGTAAACAAATAATTTTCAATCCCAAATTTTAACATAGGTGGGCTTTGGTCTGAATATTTTCATTCCGAATTTCAAAAAAATTTCAGACTAGAGGATATAGTCTTCAGGGGCATAGTAGTCTTACCCTACGAGCAGAGTCTAGATTATATTTAATGTATTAATAATAGCTCATGACCCTTTGCAGACTATAAAAGGTTTGTATAATTGATATCCACTTATTGGGTACCTACATGTACTTGACCTGCATGGAGAATTTAGTACCCTGTAACGGTACCCAATTTTTTCTTCAAACCCTTTAATGACCCAAAGATTGAGGTTGTGGTTACACATTCCTCTTTGTCTTGCCTAATATCCAGGTGTCTTTAAACAATTCACAGTATCATATAGGATTCACCTCCCAGTTAAATTCATTTTTATTATTTCAGAATGGATGTATTTGAAGATTTTGGCGATTGCTAAAAATTTAAGATGGGAGACTTCAAGGTTCACCACATACGTTTCTTTGACTACCAGCCCAAGTCCATCCAATGTCTAGCATATAATAGTCAACAAGACAGGATAGCAATTGGCAGGTAAGTCTTGTTATCAAAATGGTTATTAAGTTACATTATCAAGGTTGACGGGGGTGATGCAACGCAGCCAAGTGTAGCTGTTCAAAATGAGGCTGCAACACGTTACATACCAAAATGGAGGCAACTCTGATTATCTGAGCCACTTCCACTGTATTGTTGGCAAGTCAAATTTCCGCAAATAATTGACTTTCTGTTTCCAGAATATATTTCCCCGATTGACTAAATTTCAAGAAGCTTCACACAGACATACTTTGTAAAGTTCTCCATCGAATTGTGTATGCTATAATAACTATAGGATACTCAAACCGGGGTAAATAACTTATAAATAAACTTACCGCCAATTCAAAGGTTTCTAAAGCAGCCATTTTGTGCCTATTCCACATTGCAGCCTCGTTTTAAACAGCTACGCATATATATAGCTGCGGCGCGTCACCTCTGTCCACCTTGGTTATTATTATATAAAGGATTTAAGATTGTGGATTGATTTTAAGCATGGATGTCTTGCATCAGAACTTGCAATGAGGGCAATAGCTCAAATTTAAAGGCTAACATGAGTGGAGTGAGTCACCTACAATTCATTGAGTCATGAATTGTGATTGTGTATTAGCATTTTATGAATCACTCCTAATAAACAAATAAACAAAATGCATTTTTTGCAATTTTATTTAAGGTCTGATGGCAGTCTGGAGATTTGGTCTATCAAGGATGACTGGTTCCAGGAAAAGGTGACCATTATTTGTAACCAATAAACATAAGCCAATGCCTTTCTGACATCACTCTTACACGAGACAAAAAAAAATTTACTTTTGATCATACATTAAAATAATTCATTTTCTTCATGAATTTTGAATAAAAGTTATTATTAACTATAATATTTATTTATTTATTTATTTATTTATTTGCCAAACACTTTTTAATCAGTGGCACAATGGAAAATTCCAGTGCGGCAGTACATAAAACAAATACATATTCATAAAAAACAATACAATACAGATAGATAGATAAAATAAATATGTTAAATTGTACATATGTTATGAGTTTAAAATATCGTTATTAATAGTCACTAAAAATTGTTTGACACACTTGTCAAACAAGAATCCTTGGTCTTTGCCCCAAATACTAAAAACAACATCTCCTAGGCACCACTTTAATTTTTCATTTAACGGAAGCGTTAAGAACATATTAAATACATCAGGGGAGCATGAGGTTTTAATTCTGTTGTAAAAATCAATTCTTTCACGTTGGTTGTGACTACATGTAAAAAATCTGTGTGTTAAATCATCAATTGGATGAAGGGAACAAAGTTTGCAAAAACCATCATCACATTTTCTTCTTTTGAGGTCAGTTCCAATACCTAAACACCCAGTTCTGGCTTTGAACTTCAATCTCTGTCCAACAAAATCATTACTTGAAGTAAGGTAATTCTCCAGAAATGGGGTTTGTTTGATTGATTCATAAAATTCTAGTGAAGATTTCGAGGAACATTCAGATAGAAAATTACTTTTGTGTTGTTGGGAGGATATGGTCAAAAAAGAATCATACCATTCATTGTCATCTCTAAACACAACATCATCAAGGCCACGTTCAATTAAAATGTCTTGTATGTTTTCAAAATATGGCCAACATGTTTTTACTCTTCCCTTGAAATTTTCAAACAGTTGATCAAAAATAGCCTTATGTAGGCCGTTCCTCATGGAGAACTTAAGATATAGAAAATAATCAATTTGTCTTTTCTGAATAATGTTAATAATGCTTCTCCAGCCAAGGTCACCTAACATTGCTGCTTTGGCAGGGTTACATTTAAGTTGAAAAATTGATTTGGCCAATTTATATTGCATTGAAGAAAGGGTCTTTTCAGATGTCTTGTCAAGAATTAGAACACCACATCCATGCAACAAAGCAGGGAGGTACTGGGAGTAGTATAATGTATTACCAAATGATATTCTATTATAGTTAATATGCTAAGTTAGGGTTGATGCAACTAGATTTCTTAACTTCTTATCCTTTTCTTTTAAAACAACATTCACGTGGTAGTTATCTCTTAATTGCCTATTTAGATGGATGCCAAGATATTTGTAAGTATCAACTTCTTTGATTTCAAGGTCACCTAATACCCAAGTTTTATTTTTATCTATTCGCTTGCCAATAACCATTACTTTAGATTTATTGGGGTCGAATTTGAATCCCCAGCAAGAACCAAACTGATCTGCAATTTTTAGCATATGATTCAGTTGGCTCTCACTTTCGGCCATAAGAACAATGTCATCAGCAAAAAGTAATGTTGGGACTTTAATGTTATTAAATGGAATACCAAGGTTTTCTTTATTCAGTCTATCAACTAAGTCAGTCATGACTAGTGAGAATAGGGATGGGGATAAACAACAGCCCTGCTTTAATCCAGAAGTACTAGAATACCATGGAGAGGTAAAATTACCAAAAATAACTTTATTACAAACATCCCTGTAAGCCTCATGGAGCAACCGCCATATTTTTCCTTGAATACCCATTTCCCAAAGTTTCACAAATAACATATTGCGGTCAATAACATCAAAGGCCTTAGAAATATCCAAAAATGATAAAAATGTATTTTTCTTAGAGGATTTACGAAGTGAGCATAAACCTTTTAGAGCAAAAATGTGGTTTTCAAGTCTACGATTTTCCCTGAAAGCTCCCTGGGAATCACCAAGAAGGTCACATGACTCTGAGTTAAGTTTAATTTTACTATCAAGTAGACTAGTATAAATTTTATAAACATTGGAATTCATGGTGAGACCTCTGTAATTATTTAAGTCAATGTTTAAACCTCGTTTGAATAAAGGAACAAGTAATCCTTCTTTCCATTCTGTAGGCGTAACTTCTAGGGATTTTACTTTGTTAAAAAGGTCAAAAAGGGAAGAAAACATTGTATTTCCCCCCGTATTTAAGAAATTCATTAGGTATATTATCCGTACCACACTTCTTGCCATTATTAAGCTTTCTGAGACATTGCACAAGTTCAGCATATGTGAAGCAGAAGCTGTTTAAGGCATTATTATCATAGTTAGTTTCCTTTAATAAAGAATCTATCTTATCTGATAGATTATTGGAGGTAAACTTTGGATTACGATTATTACGCCCCACCCTTTCCCAATACAAATGTAGAGCCTCAGATATGGCTTTGGGGTCAGTTAAGATCATATCTTTGTTGTTAGGGTCTTGGATTTGAATGGGATATCCATTATTTTCATTGAACATTTTCAATTTTTTCCAGTAGGATCTTGAACATTTAGAAAGTGACCTAGCATTACTAGTTAAAACTTTGATGTGATTCTTTACATGTGATTCAACTATTTTCAACTGAACTTGTTTTTTACGTTCGAGGTATAAGTTCCAAATTTCTCGAAGTATGTCAGGGTCAGCTGACTTTGAACGACTCCAATATCGGTAGAAGCGTGATGCTTCTTTACGATTATTTATTAATAATTTAATTTCTTTATCCCAAAATGAACGATGGTTCGTTGGTACCCTCTTAATCCCAACCCCTATATGAGCAGCCTTCATTATATTCTCTTTGAATGAGGACCATGCATCTTCAATGTTACTGCACTTGGAAATGTCCCAGGAACTAAATTCAGTATTAATGGCGTTTCTGAAGCAATCCCAATCTGTGTTATCATTGATGTTCCAAATTACAGTATCTTCATCTTTATTATCAGGGGGAACATTGGTCTTAAGGTTACCTGACTGAGAGGGCAGTATAGCATTTATAATCATAAAAGAGTGGTCACTACCTAAACTTGCCTCTTCGTGGGTTTCATCAATAATCATATTTTGGTACACCTTCATAAAATTATGGTTACCAAAGCAATAGTCAATGGATGAATGTTGAGTTCCCCTTGACCATGTTATCTCACCCTGACAGTTAATAGAGTTTAACATGTGCATGCCTGTGACATCAATGAAAAGATCGATAAGTTTACCATTTTGGCTGCTTTGCCCTTTACAAAATTTGGTTGCCTTCCCATTAAAATCACCCATCAATAAAGTATATGTGTCATCTGATTCAACCTCTGCAACATTAGAGATCAACTCATCCATTAACTTTTCGCTTAAAATTGAATTTTTTCCATCTACGGGAAAGTAAGTAACTCCAAGATTAAGAACATTATTATTAATTTTAACACGAATCCATAATCTTTCTAGGTCATCACAACTCGAGTGAAGTAAATCATTGTCAAGGATTACTATTCCTTTCTTAACAAAGAATCCTACACCACCACCTTTTTTACCAACTCTGTTTTTAGGGATCCACACATAGTTATCATTTAAAATTGAAAGCGTGTTAGTGTCATCAAAAAAAGTTTCAGCAATAGCAACAATATCATAGCTACATTTAGATAAAGTCTGGTTGAGCTCATGCTGTTTAGCAAGGCCAAAGTGGCATACATTATTAAAAGCAAAGGTCATTTGAGTGGAGCTGGTATAGATCTTTCTTCTTCCCCGACGAGTTTTGCGATTACGTTGGTGAATGACAGGTTCAGGAGTGGGCGGAGATATTGTAAATGAGTCAGATGGGACGAAGGCAGAAACATTGCCCAAAGCCTATTGTGGCCAGCGCTGTCCAAACTGTCCATTAACAAAATTAGGGTGGTTTAAGTTTTGTGTGAATGGGCACCTTGCTTTCTTATGTCCAAAATTAGAACAGGAGTGGCAGCGTATGGAATTTGTGTGCCAACAAGAATTGGCAAGGTGACTCCTTTCTCCGCATTTAAAACAGGCTGGTGAAATGTTACGTGAAATATCATGGGAGGGGGGCTGGGCACGTTGGTCACGTACAGGGGGCTGTTGTTGCTGCAAAGAGGGTACATGAATATCGTTGCTGGTGGGTTTGTGTTGGGCTATAGCCTGTGATGAGCGTTGCAAGTTACGTTGCTGTTGACGGGCACGGTTGTTTTTTGTAACATCTCGTGTCTTACAGCCGAGTCCCATGTTACGTGCCAATTTATTAGATCCTGGCTTTGATAAGTGAAGACCGTCAGACCAGAGATAACCTTCATTTATTTCTCCACTCTGTAGTTTAAAGCCATTTGTGTCATTGTTGATGAACTCGATCTTTTCCTCCTCGCATAGGATCTGTAGCTCAGCATTAAGGGCATCGGCGGTATTCTGAGCCAATTCTTTGTCGGTTCGAGGGCAAATGCTAGAAACGGCAACAGTGGTAGCAATGTTCTTGGCACCCTTAATAGCTAATTGGTATTTGGCTTTGATCGAGGCCTTATCTGATGATTTTGCACAGTCTTTACTTCCTACTTGAAGAATAGCCTTTTGGTACTTGGTGTCTAAATTAGTGAGTCGCTTATGGACCATATCAATGTCTGCCCCACCAATAGAAATAACTTCAACGTCATTGAGTTTATCTTGATCCAGGTCACGAACGATAGAACTTCCAATCACCAGCGTTTTTGAAGCATTTTTGGGGTGGGGTTTGACAGGTTCATTTTGGGATTTGTTCATTTTATGCCAGTTAAGGGTTTCACGAAGGCTTTTACACTCTTTTTCAAGTTCATTGCTTGTTGCAGTTTTTGCAGATAGTTGTTTTACAAGATCGAGATTCGTAGTGTTTATTGCACTCACTGTGCTCTGCAAAGCATCAACCTTGGCTGTGGTGTTATCAACTGCCACCTTAAGGTCTTGTATGATAGCTACTAGGTTGCGAGTGTTTATATCAGAGTCATATTTGGAAGTACAGCGAGTATGTAATTTATTGGACTTAGGAAGCTTTGGGGTCTTAGGGGCCGTCCTACACGCTCGAACAGGACGTTTACGCTTCGCTCCTGAGTCTGAGTTGAAAGTACCATTAAGATCCAAAGGCAATGTGTTTTTGCCTATACGTTTACTTCTGCGTTTATGGACAGTCCTTTGAGTGTCATTCTGTGAAGGTGAAGCAAGATTAGTTGAGCAGGTTGGTTCTCTTGGAGTCAAAGCACGAGCTTGAGATGCCCCCTGAGAACACTGAGACTGTTCAGGAGAGTTGTTGATAGTCAGGTTTAAGGTCAGAATATCAGCTGATTCAGGTGACCCCTGACTTTCTTTATAAACAGAATCAGGTGATCCAATAAGCAAGCCAATATCAGTTCCAACTTCTGAGGGTTGAGGGCTAGCCATGGTCATAGGCAGCTAATATGCACATTAACACCTTCTAGTTCTTTAAGTGCTAAAAACTTAATTACCTCAATGCAGTTCAATACTGTATTTTTGTGTAAGTCTGAAATATTTTCCTCAATTTATCTGAAATAATTTCCATCAAATGTCATTTAGACACTTGCAATATCACAAAAATAATTATATATCCAGATTCCTGATGTATTCACGAATCCTGCGGTACTAAAATCTTGATTCTTTTTGTTCTTGTTCCTCATAAATCAGTCCTATTTTACAGAGCAAAATTATTCCTGTCAACTGTGTTTGACTGTATAAAGAAGATAAACATTAATATAATATAAACATTATTTGAGGACAAATCAGAACTCCAAAACAGTGACAATAATAATTCACTTTCTTCATGAATTTTGATCAAAAGTACGGGTTATTTGAGGACAAATCAGAACTCCAAAAACTGTGACAGTTAAATCCGTTCCTCATTTAAATAAATCAATGTACAGCAAAGCAAACCCTGTAATGCATAGTCCATCAGTGACAAATTTTTGGACATTGTTGAACAATTAATCAGCAGTACCATATTTGTAAACCTATTCACACAGGCAGGTATCGAAAAATTTGTCCGCTGTGACGGAGCGTGTTATTTTGCATAGAAACACTAGGAAATCCACACAATTTATTTTTTTACTCATATGTTTTACTATATCAAAGAAAATTACTGACTCCATGCAATGAATATATCATTTGCGGGTAACTTTAACTTCTGTTTGAAGTCCAACAACGCTAAGAGTAAAAGCTATTGAAAACGGCGTCGGAGTATCATACTCCAAAATGTACCATTTCTTTTATTTCTTTTTAATGGTACAATGTAGCGACACGATAATATTTACATATGTTTTCAGCATAACTCTGAAGGTATTAATGAGATTTTTATGTATTGGGTATTTTTAATTTTTTTGATAAAAAATAATAATTAGATTTTTTGTCCGCTGTGACGGAGCAGTTTCAAATCTGAAATACATAAGATTTTAGATTTATAATATATCTCTTTACAACTACACGTTAGAGGAGCGAGCGTGTCAAATCTCGTAAAGTATTCTGAAAAATGAAACGTAATAAAAGTACACAATTCAAATTCTGAGATGTATATACAACCACTCTTTAGTCTTTAAGCATCTTTTCTCAGTTTGTACTGCAATCCAACTTATGCATGGTAACTCATGAAAATGATAGTCAACTTCATTTAAGTATAGGGTATTTCCCTTTCGTAGTGCCTTCTGTGGATCCATCGGCCTGACATGGTCATTTTTTACGGTGACTTGATTATTTGAAGTAAAATGATTTGCTGAAGATGAGGCTAAATACATATGATGGTATGGAATGTGGATTGTTCTACCCTCTTTAGTCGTTCCAAAAGGTAAGTTGAGTGTATCTTGAAATACGAAAATGCAAAATTTGATTTTAAGATCGTTCTTTATTTGAATAAGAGTTATGGCTATCTGATGTAACTACAGTAAAACATGTGTACATTGAACACATATGGAGCCCAAAAATGTGTTCCCAGTTGGTAGATGATGTTCACTTCATACAGGCATTTCATACAGAAGTCAGAGGAATATTTGATAAGAAGAGGTGTTCACTAGAGAAAGATATTCATTGAGACAGGTTTTACAATGCAGCACGTTTACCAAGACTTTTTTTTTTAATTTTAGTCTATGCAAAACGATGAATTTCATGAATTTCAAATAAATACAAATTAAATCTGTATTGGGATCATCTTATGTACAGTAATATTATGTGGTAAAAGGTTATACATCTGTCGGAATGCAGGATGTCTGTGCGCTATTTCGAATAAATTCATATTAGCCCTATTTACACTACACGTGACATTTCAAGACGTCTTGGCGAAAACGTATTAGAAATATTATGTTGAGTTTACACCATGTTGATTCATGTTGATTTCAGTACAAACCTCCGTTGTCGTTTTATATCTCAGATTTACATTACCCCAGATCTCCAAGAGACTACTTGTCATAATTTAGGAAAGTGATTTGTGACGTTCTCTCTTCTAAGGGTACTTTTAAAAGATATAATTTGCATCTTAAATTCTTAACGTAGTTCACAGTTAAAGCTGCTCCGTCACAGCTGACAAAAAATGTAAACATTATTTTTTATAAAAAATATTAAAAATACCCAATACATCAAGATATCATTAATACCTTCAGAGTTATGCTGAAAAAACATGTAAATATTATCGTATCACTATATTGTACCATTAAAAAGAAATAAAAGAAATGGTACATTTTGGAGTATGATAGGTGGCGCCGTTTTCAGTAGCTTTTACTCTTAGCGTTGTTGGACTTCAAACAAAAGTTAAAGTTACCCGCAAATGATATACCCATTGCATGGAGTAAGAAATTTTCTTTGGAAAAACGAAACATATGAGTAAAAAAATAAATTGTCTGGGTTTCTTAGTGTTTCTATGCAAAATAGCACGCTCCGTCACAGCGGACAAATTTTTCGATACCAGCCTGTGATTCATTATTTCTTTTCTTACATTACTTTACATTCACACATAGCTAGGTAAGGTGTGTCTGATTCCAGCCAATCAACAGTGTATTCACATAATGAACAGTGTGTGAAATATCAATAACACATGCAAGGTCACTAGTTAAATAGTTGTCATGGTAATGAATGGACTTTTCATATTGGATTTGATGACTTGCCAACTTGACCCTTGCAAAAAAATTGATTGAAAATGTGTTCTTAGAGTGATTTTGTTCCTTTTGGATGAGTTTGTAGAAAAAATTGCAATATGTGAAAAGAATTTAAGCCCAAGACTCAATGCATTGTAGCTGCTTCATTCCACTCAGGCGTTGTTTCCTAGACTTTGCATTCCTGTCGCGCAGTCTTGCAAAGGTTTGGAAACAACACCTTCATAGTATGATTCAGCAAACAATGCACTGAGTCTTGGGCTTAAATCCTTAAATTATGTGAACAGTGCCTATGGGTTTGTTGACCTGATTTTACTAATTCCACCTTTCAGGTCTATTTTGAATTTTAAAAAATGGCATTTATATTATTCCAGATTATCCCAGGGTCTAATGACAACTCTATTGAAGCAGTAGCTTGGTGTGGGAATCGTGTTTTTACTGCAGGTATTCAAGGCAGTATCGTGGAATATGATCTATTGACACTGGAGAGAAAAGTGAGTATTTTTGCCACATCTATTAATTTTTGGACCATTTCACTAGTCAGGGGATTAGAAACTTGGATTGTTATTTTTCAGCGATTATTGTTTTTTTCGATGAGTATTCTGGAGCAGGCACCAGGAAAAAGCCAATTTTGTGAATATTCTTGACAGTAAACTAACGGAACAAGGTTGTCCCCTCCCCTCTTTTCTGTTGTTGCCATACATGTTTCTTCCTCATTCACATATTTAATCCATTTATTGTCTTGGTTTCATTCTACATACTTTAAAACCTGTGTGATGATTTCCTGTGGTACCTTAATATAAGGCACCATGCATAATTAATGGAAAGTGTTTGACACTGGATGTTTTATTTTACAAGTCTTACTGTAATGTAGGCAGCTATTAATTACATTGCCACACAAATTCGAACTTTTTTAAGTTTTGATCTTTAATTGATGGAATATATTTGTATTTAGGTCGTGTCATGGTCCAACAATGGAGCAGTCTGGAGTCTAGAATCCAATATGGCAGAAACACACATTGCAGTGAGTCAAATGTATAACTATGAGAATATAAAAATGTATAGAGAGCTTACAGGTTATATGAAAGGATACTTTGGAACTAGTTTTAGTTTATAAAGAGCTAGTATGTTCCCATGTTGATAGGGTACAAAAAAAGTTTCAACAAGTTTGCATTTGATTTTCAAGTTTTTCAACAGGGTGTGTACCTCCCTGTTGCTCTAATTTTGGGAAAATCACAATACATTTTATGCTCTTTCCCACAATTACACTAACATGAAATATGAGTATAAACAGTATGTATTTCAATGCGGTAGGACTCCTAATATTGTCCACTATACAGTATAGATTGAATGAGATGACATATATGAGATGACTCACATGAATCTCAAGTTAACTAAGGGTTGAGTTGACTTGGGTTGAGTTGACTTGAGGTTGAGTTGACCAGTTACCAATGAGTTGACATATATGAGATGACTCATATGAATCTTATTTCCAGGCTGGTACTGAGGAAGGGTGTATTGTTCTATACGAGCTAACTGAGGAGGGACTTGAGTATTTCAAAGCATTTGATAAACAAGAAGGTAATTACATATACCATACTTCTACTTAATTTTGTGCTTCTTATTATTCCATCGATCGAAGTTTGAGGGGAATATAGAAAAGCAGTCTGTCCGTTTGTGTGTCCAGGCAATAACTCAAATACCGGTTGACAGATTTCATTCAAATTTAATAGGCTTATGCCTTATGGGTTTAGGACCTCTGCTCGAGATGAAATTTTCAATATGGCCACTCAATTCAAAATGGCCACCATTTTTTCTAAAAAATGTAATCTTTGATAACTCAAATACTAGTGTACAGATTTGGTTCAAATTCTATATGATTGTACCTAGGGGCAAAGGACTTTTTTCTAATTTGAAGATATTACAAATACCACTGACAGGCTCAGTGTGTGTACAACTAAAATACCCAAAACTGACAAGTGAAATCGGTTCTCATTATGGAGGTTTTAAAAAGTTATGACATCTGATCTAATTTTTAGCTCACTGAAATTCAAAATGGCTGCAATTTTTCATAAAAAAACTATTATATTTGATTAATAAAGAGGTCTTCTCAAGAAGATATTTTCAAGATGGTTGCTATTTATCAAAATTACTGCCATTTGTTATAAAAAATGTTATCTTTGTTGGCAGTATTGCTTCTTTTATATGCTGTTACCTAAGGCCTATGGACAAAGCAATTCTGTTCAAGAAAAAAATTCAAGATGGCCACTTATTATCAAAATATGTTTTGTTCGGTGGGATTTGCTCCTCCTTGGAGTTGCTGTTTTTCTAGTTTTGGCGGATTTGCTGTTTTGAACATTTTGCGGCTACTTAATTTGGCAGACTTGCAATATAACAATTGCACTAATGGTACAAATTTACATGGTACTAAAATTACCTGTGAATTAGGCGGAATTAAACATTTTGGCAGATCCGCTAAATTAAAACGGCCACCGTTATTCTTTGTTTAATTCATCATTTCTGCTATATTCATAATACATTTCAAACAATTGGACCTTAATTTATGTAATTACAGGTAGAGTACTGTCCCTTGCCTGGGCAAAGGAGGATAAATTAATCGTAACTGGGGGCATTGATAACATCCGTATATGGAACACCACATCTGGCCATGCTATTCAGCGGTTGACCCTTGGGCGGCAGGAAGTCACGAAAGAAACTTTAGTATGGTGTGTTGGGGTGACAAAGTAAGATTTTTACAAATGTTTTCTTGTGATTTGCACTATAATGTTTAGTTACATTTTTATATTATACATGTAGTTGCATTGGAAAATACAATACTCGACCAGACTTTGATATGATAGAATCATAGGTGGAGGGACGTGTATTTCAGTACTTTTGTGTTGTATATGCTGTGTTAAATTTTCTTTTTTTTGTTGTTTTATTGGGGAAATATTCACTTTATGAAGTAATGTTCAATGGTTTCGGGAAGTTTTCTATACAAATATGTTATCTTATGGTTCACATCTGCATCAAATCTTCATCAGTTGCGTTATCTTCTACATCCTTGAATATATAATACCCTGGGATGAAATACTCAAGCAGAATGCAATAGGATTCTTTTTATGTCATCATTATTGTATTAAAATGTTACAATTCTTTTGTCACAGAGATTTTACAATCATCAGTGGGGATTCCCGAGGAAAGACATCCTTCTGGAACGGGAAGCAGGGGACGTTATCTCGGAGCTATCAAAGTCACAAGGCAGACATCTTGTGTCTATGTATGAACAAGGAGGGTAACTCAGTGTTTCTGTCAGGGGCAGACTCAAACATAATTCAGTTTGAATATATCACATCAAATGCAGATAGCGCGTGGAGACAATGGGTGCGATCATCAGTATATGTCCATCATAAACATGATGTTAGGGCACTAGTGTTGACATCAAGGAACTTCTTGGTATCTGGAGGTAAGAGCCTCTTGTCCATTTTCTACAATGTACATACCTCTCAGTTGTTCCAGGATAATTATTTCCTTTGGGATAAAAGTATCTCCTTTGAAAAAATAATTTTCTAAGCAGTTAAATGAAGAATCCAAAATGCCCAACTTAACATTTACCCAGAATGCCCAAAATCTAATCAGTTTCAGGTTTGTATACAGAAAGGCATATCTGAAAATGTGAAATCGAAAAGTCAAACAGTTTGCCTGAAAACGCAAAGACATAAGACTTATATTTTTGTCTGTAAAATATTGTTATGTTGATATCCTCAGGTATGGACTGCAAGTTGGTTTACAGTCAAATAGAAGCTAATAAGTCAAAGAGTCATCGGAAGATTGCCCCCATACCTCAGGTAAGATTTTCCTATTTTATTCCAGTCATGTTTTCTCTACATTGTTGGTTATGTTGTTCCTAAAGCATCAGACACATATTTACAGTTTATTTACTTAGGACAATATAATGGAATGACTTAAAAATACTCAAGATATCATGTAATTTTTTTTAGGAAAAAGTCTTATCATCCTTAACATAGTTTTTATGTCACTTCTTTCTTTCCATTACATAATATATTATGTTGAAAATGAAGATACAAAATATCTTTTTGTTTGTAATGTAATTTACCAGGTTTCGTCTGTGTCTATACAATAAAATGGAGCAAAATGACACCTAGTTATACCCATCTTTTGCTCATTCAGAAAAATGTCATTGTTTATATCACAGAAAGAAGAATTTGATGGATACATGGTAGTTCAAATTTTCATATGTTACAGTATAGCCTGGTTCACCTTGCGAAGGATGCAGACTTTGTAATGTTGCAGTACACAGATAACTTAGAGATATGGAAACTGGGCTCAACTAAGGCTGAAACAGGTAATTCATATTGCTGATCTTTCAGAGTCAAATCGAGTGCTGGAAAAGGAGGTGTAAACATTTCAAAAATTTATTTTGTTTATTTTTTGCTAAATACATTTCAAACACATCATGGAAAAATCCCAGTGTGGTTGTAAATATGAAATAGGGAATGCCTTCCCCTTACTGATTGATCATATTAAAATGATATAGAACAAGGAATAAGTGTTCTGTTGTATGCATATTTATGTATTTGCATTTGTATTTTCTACATTAGGCAAAATAGGGGAAGCCCTACCCTTACACAGGGACCCAATGAAGTTGATAGAACTTCATAGTAAAGGGGGGAATCACATAGTCTGTAGTGCTATATCCAGGGATGGAGAGTATGTGGCATACTCTGACACAACTACAATTAAAGTCTTCAAGATAATCCAAGTAAGTTATTATTATTTTACTGTAATTTTGTAATGTCATAATTCAGTGACCTCGGCATATAAGCAAAGGGACATTAAGTTAAGCGACGTGAACCAGTATATATTAAATATACCAACTCACTCACCTAAAATTCATTGTAGCCTTATGAAAATAGGCATATTAATTTCAAATTAAGGCAGAATTCTGAAAACGGTATCAAGAAATCACTTTAGAAAATATCAAGGGAGAACACTAAATATTAAGATCAAGTTATATTGAGAGTAATTAAAAGCTGCTAGATGTTTATCATAAAGCAATGTGTACTATATCATACAAAAATTAAAGCAAAATAGTCTTTGAAATTGTATTTACTGCATGCAATTATACTCTACAGTTCTCATGACAGTTTTTATGATGTGCTAATTGAATGTTAAAAAGAGGGCTATGATTTTTCAATGTATTTGTTTTATTTTCATTATTTTGATTTTGGTATTCTAGGAACAAGTTACAGTGATGTCACCAAAATTAACGATACAAAAATTGAAGATCGGAAAACCTGATCATGCTCACAGACTTGAATTTAGTGCAGAATCTGACTGTTTATATGTTGCATCAAAATCAGGACGTGTTAATGTACTGAACTTCCTGGAACCTGAATCTAAAGAGACAACACTCTCTAGGAAAGGAGGTAATTTTATTTGTAAAATAAATTTTCCAGATTTGGGTGTCTGTGATTGGTTAAAGAAACCTAGGTCATTATTAATTATGATTGTGTGGTGTTCCCCTCTTCTAACGCCTCCGTCTGTCCGTCCATCCGATTTTTTCAAAATGGCCGCTCATTTAAAAATGGTGGACATTTTAGTGCCTATTTTATAGTAATTTAGCTGCAATATGTAAAACTGTAATAGCAATATGTTTTAAATGTAAAAAAATTAGATAGGACTTTATTAAAGCTAGAAATGTAGATATTTAAGAAGCACATGGCAGCCATCTTGAAAAATGGCGGCCTTGACTCGTTTCTTTACGATTTTTGCTCTAACTCGAAAAGTAGAGGAGAGATTTTGTTCATATTTGGTATGTGAATACTATAAGCATGGCACACTGTATAATGACACTTTTGGTAGAAAGTTCCATTTTGAAAAATGGGTGCCAATTTTTTCTATATACTTTGTAAAAATACCAGCCATGGCTGTTCGATGGGATTTGCTACGCTTTGGCATTGCTGTTGTCTAGTTTTGAATTGGCCAAAAATAATTTGAGATGAAAATTAATTGATATTATTGGATGTTATAATGACATTAGTATTTTACCTGTCTTTCTTGACATGTTATTATAGATTGCATGGAACCCATACATCTTATGACGCTGAGCCCTAATGGAGATTACCTAGCAACAGGGGACCATGGCAACAATGTCCAGATCTTTAGCACAAAACAACGAAAGGTAAACTCACCACACAAGTGTCCTGACTCAGAAATAGTCAAAACTTTTAAATAGAGATAATCTTTTTTTATGTATCCATGTGTAGCACTGAACATAATATCCATTGTTACTTTGACTCAGAAATAGTCAAAACTTTTAAATAGAGATAATCTTTTTTATGTATCCATGTGTAGCACTGAACATAATATCCATTGTTACTTTGCAATTTTCTTATTGTGGGTAGAAATTGATGTGAATGGATGTGCAAGAAGAGTTGTAGGAAATGTGACAAAGTAAGTGCAAGTGCCATAAAAGACTAGAAAAGTGTTGAAAAACACATTTATAAAACAGAGAGTCTTACTAGTCATTCGGAAACAAATCCCCAGAATCCCCAACTATTATCCAGCAAAGAAACCGTGTCAAACACCCCCCCCCCCTGACCCTTCTCACAATTCAGAAACTAAACATTGAATTCATACAGCCAGGCCTCAGAGTCAGTAAAATACAGTACATATGACTCAAAGTAAATTTTTAATATCTTTATTTCAGCATATCTGTAGCCTCCCTGTGTATAGCTGCCAGCCTACAGCTATAGCTTTCAACCAGACATCAACAGAACTTGTAGTAGCCTACACAAATCAAAAGGTTAGTTCCTACACTTGTCAATGTACCAAGACTTTAATAAATGGGCCTATTGTTCAAATTCAATGACAACAGTAACAATTAGGCTCTGTGCCAGTTATCTCATGATATATTGATACCACCAATCTGCTGAGTATTATGTTAAATGGTTAAATCAAGATTGGGCTGCGTACCATTAATTTTTTATCGCACAGAGCTGATGCAGCTGCCAAATAAATCGTTTCATTAGAATTTCAGGGAAACAGTTCATTAGCTTGATGTTTTTACAGATGCAAGAACCGACCAAGAAGTGGAATACTCCAAAATTAATAGATAAAGAGCTATCTTCATGTAAAGACTAACATTTAGAACCTGTAGAGGGTTTCCTTTACATGAAGATGGTTCATCTGTGAATTCTGGGTAATTTCTCCTCTTGAGCAGGCTAGTCTGATTAGATTTTGGGCACCCTGGGTAAATTACACATGGGCCATTTTTAATTCTTGTTCGATCTTGTAATCTAAATTCAATGAAAACCACTCTTTTGATTCAATTAAAATCTGGAAGTCTAGAGAGAAGAGGGATTTTTGTGAATTCTCAAGGGTCCCATTTTCTTTCTAAATCTGCTGGATATTTTGCTCTTTAAGTGCAATATTTATCACTCAGTTTCTTGTTTATTAGGTCACCACCAAAAAGTGGATCGAGACATCATGATAAACTATCTTTTTGTGACTGGCATTATTGGTTGATGTTTGTAACAAGTTGTAGCTCTTTTGTAGCAGATGCTTTTTGTATTACAATTGAAATAACTCCTAAAGAAATTGAAAATATTCAGTTGCATATTGAAGTATATTCTTGATTTTCAGATAGTAGAGTTTAATATAGAAGAACAGCAATACACAAAATGGTGCCGGATGGCATTAGATTCATTCCCTTTACAATGGCTACGGCAGCACAATAAGATATCTCATGTTGCATTTAACCCATCAAACCCTGATCAAATATTGATCCATAATGAACAGATGTTCAGTATCCTGGATAAATCTCAGGTATGACACGTTCATTACACTGATTCTATGTCATTCTTGTATTACAGTTTGTATGTAAGTGTAATTGTTTTGTAAACAGTGTATCTAGAAATGAACATGACTCCGAGGAACCTATATCTTTATCCACAGGGTATCATTAGCAGCAGGCAACAGGCGATTTTCACTGGTTGTTTTCACAAAATCACCTGTTGTTTTTGGGGACTTTTCAACTTTTAAATATTTTTATGAATATATCCATAAATTTTGCCTGTTGTTTTCATTTATTTAGCCTGTTTTGTGAGAAATTCTAGTGAAACCCCTGATAACCTATTTTTTATTCATAGCCATTTCCGAAGCAGAATACATACTTGATTAACAAGGATGGGCAGCCAATAAAGAAGGACAAAGTGGAGCATGCCTTTCATCTGTGTACTCAGTTCAGGGTAAGTACTCACATCTGTCTAGATGAAAATATTGGTAGCAAAATATTCAATATTTAATGTAATTTTTATGTCACCACTACAAGTGGACTGTTTTCAATTGTTGGTGTTTGATGCCTGTGGCAAATGGCAGGTGTTGACATTTTGCATGTTCATGTTTTGTTTATTTTTGCAATTTCCTTACTTATCTGCAGTGCATAGTCTTATGCTAAAAAATGGTACATGTGCTTGATAAATTGATAAATAAGAACAGTTTTACATGATTTTATCCATTTTCAGACTTATCCTTTGATGTTGAAGGACATGAGAATCAGTGGCCCTATGATTTAAATTTTAGTATATTTTGTATTTTTTAGTATCTGATGTTTGCTGACATGGTAGGACCCAACTTTATGTTAGTGGTAGAGCAGACTCCTACATCTATAGTTGACAGACTACCGCCAGCACTGAAGGAGAAGAAATTTGGGACATAAATATGTACATAATGGACATTTGAATTTTTTATGTCAATAACTACAAAAATGCTATAATAAATATCTTCCAATACAAAAAAATTGGAGATCAGTTTGTTTTAGTTATGAAATAATTTTTTTGAATGATTCACTCATTGAAGATGAAATGGTGTAAATCATAGAAAGAAAATCTATGCAGATATTACAATATACAAATTACAAGAAGAAACTTGCCCATATACAATACTCTAGCTGTAATGGATTTATATCTATCTGCTATTAGCCTGGGGGCAATAATGGAAAACCATGACATCATCAAACAGCACCTTGCAATGGAAAATATTCTTTAGGGAGGGGACAACCTTTGATCCCCATCTGGCACTCCCAAAAAACAAATGAAAATAATGATTTCTTTTTCTCAGTTTTATTTTTCTCTTTGAAAGTGTCCAGAAATAACCAACTTAGTACTTTGGATTGGCAAAACTCATAGAGGGAGCCATCATTTCTCATTCACTCCTCTTAAAACTCTCTTGTATTTAGGCAGTGATCGAATACCATGAAGTATTTCATTGTTTTGCAGCCATCTTAATTCCGCATTCATATACCTAGTATTCTTAAAACGAGAATTGCCGCTACATTTACTTTATCTACGGTTCTCCTTCAAAGCATGGTGAACATTAAATGCAAAAATGATGTTGCTCTTGCAGGAGCCAGTAGTGCTGTCGTTTCTGTGGCCACCATGATCCTTCTGGTATTTGTGACTGTCTCGTATTGGCATTAGATGTAACATCTTTGAATGTCTCCAATCGGAAATGAACAATCAAATGCGATAGACAGCTTTCACAACCGGAACCGGAAGTCCTAAGTGAATAGCTGTTTTGGAACCTGGTCTTCTTCTAAATCTTATGTAGCAACCGTCGTTGTTACTTGCAATATTTTAAAGACATTTTTTATTTACTTATTGTGAATATTTTTTTTATTTCTTTACACTTTTGAGTTTCGTAGCAAATACGGTACTTCATGCTGGACACTTAGTAGGCCTTTAGCCATAGCCATTCAGATTCCAGGATTTTAGGGGCTTGGTCAGAGAGGAGGCAAACATTTTCAATGGACGACAGTTCTGTTGAAATTCATTTTCGTTGTTCATCTAAAGTCCAATTGACTTAGTCTAAATAAGGACAGCTAGTCCAAATAAGGACAGCCTTATCCGAATATATTTTACATGACGGTGCTAGGAATGTATTATCGGTCAAGATAGATACATTAACACTAACATCGGTCATGTTAGTGTTATTTATAGTGTCAATAGGGAGTTTAAGCTTGTATATTAAATCGAAACGTCAACCTATACGCACAACCGATGTTCCCTCAGGTGGTTTAAAAATTCAAATAGTATTTTAAAAGCCATATGTTAAGTGTGCTTTTTCTGAGCAGGATGCCCCTAAAATGTCAATATTTGAAAAAAGTGAGTGTGGCACTTTCTCATTAGATCCCATGTATACTAAAATCAAATTTCCATCCCAAAAACCATACTATTTAATTTTCTCTTTAACTCACAGAAACACTTAGTTATGGTATGTACATTACATTTTGAAAAGAAAAATAGGGGCTAGCGTTCATCATGTTCAATCGACATCGATCCTTAACATCAAAGTGCAAAAAATCATCTAGACAACTTATATTATAAGGGCTTTTACTATTACTTTCACAAAAGTGGATCACAATTTGTATTTTTTTTTAGCAAGCATGTACGTCTTCGTGGAATTTTGCTTACAAGATTTATATGGCATTTCTGCTACTTCTGATTGGAAGGTGACTTGTTAATTAAACAAATGAAAGCCCACGCATGGACAAGCTATATTTAAAATATGATAACTCTTAAGTTTACAAAATAACGTGAACGTATAAAGAGGGTGAAACATTTCTCCAAAGGGGCCCAAGCCAGTGGGCGTTTGTTTCGAGGAATGTTATCGATCTCAAAGTTGACACATGGCCCATTGGAACTGACAGTGACATGAGCAATGCACCCTCTGGAAGCTACAGTGACAGTGATGATCAGATTGACGTTATTATAAATGACGTGATCCTATTAAACTTGTGCGTCAGAAATAGTATAGTTCCACGGTATTGTTAAGTTTTGATAAGATTTGTTCTGATAAGATTTGAAATATAATCTATTATTCAACAGTAATGAATGGTGTCATATTTTTTATTAATTACTTGTACTTGAACGACAGTAATCACTTATTACAGTTTTTAAGCAATTGCCACTAATGAGTGATCTGAATAATATCAATATGCGAGTCCGATTAATATTGTACTAAGTTTACATAATACTATCTCAGACTGTATCTATTTTTCCGAGAATCGAATGTGCCAAACTGTGCCACTAATGAGTGTTCTGAATAATATGCGAGTCCGTTTAATATTGTACTAAGTTTACAAAATAATATCCCAGACTGTATCTATTTTTCCGAAAAAACTTGAATCGAAATCACAGGAAGTAGGATTTATAGATTCGTTAAGTATATTTCCTGATCCCTTATCCCCTCGTTGTAAGAACTAAGATTAGGATTGAAAATCGAATGTGCCAAACTATATATGCCACTAATGAGTGATGTGAATAATATGCGAGTCCATTTAAGGTGCTATGGAAGTTAACAGGAAATGACAAAACAGGAAGTGAAAAGCCATGCTGGATTTTGAAAATTTTTTGAACCAAGATAACAGAGTTCTGTTTGGTCCTCCAGTCAGTTTAACTAGTTCCACATATCATTTACATGACCAGGAACACAACGGAAATGGTAAGAATAACCATAAACATGGTGAAATAACCTTTTCAGTCCTCTGAAAATGTGCCTGGAAAACAGCTAAGAGTAGGTGCTCAGGAAAGGTCACTGAACAGAATCTTTTGACTTTTTCAGAAAATCTGCCCAATATATTGCTTAAAATGATACAATTTAAAAAAAATTGATATCATTCTTAGAAAAAGAAAAAAATGAAAAAACTGAATCGAAAATTGATCGATTTACCTTTTTACTACAGCCATTATTGTTTCAGACAATTTTTAAAATTTCAAAGATTGTATCATTTAGAGCAATATATTGGACACGTTTCTGAAAAAATCGAAAGATTCTGTTCAGTGACCTTTCCTGAGCACCTACTTTTTAGCTATTTTTCAGTCACATTTTCAGAGGGCTGAAAAGGTTATTTCATCATTTTTTATGGTCATTCTGACCATTTCCAGTGTGTTCCCAGTCATGTAAATGATATGTGGAACTAGTAAAACTGACTAGAGGTCCAAACAGAACTCTGATATCTTGCTTCAAAAATTTTTCAAAATCCAGCATGGCATTGTCACTTCCTGTTTTGTCATTTCCTGTTAACTTCCATGGCACCTTAAAGTGTCTCACATATTCGATCAAAACTTGCCATGCAAACATGTTAGTCCACTTTACTGGCCCCCCTTGCTGTAACAAGGAACCCAAAACACATTAAAACGTAAACATAAACCAATTAGTCACTTCACTTTGAAAGTGGGGGTGTTAGCAAATGTGTATTAGGCCATAAGAAGTAGATTCTTTGTTTTGCGTCCTGGCAAAATCCAAATCATGCAAGGGTACAAGGAAAACAAACACAAACTCAAGAAAAAAACACAAACTTGTTTGCTGAGAAATTTATCCATTTTATGGGCATAAAAAGGGATGACATACCAATTTGCAGTGATTACAAACACATATCTATACATTTTATACAATATATTTAAACTTCAAGGGTAAAAAATAAGAAAATACACAATGTATGCCAAAATAATTATAACACTGTCAATTTTGACGCACATCAAATTATCCGCCATTTCGTCTGATTCTGATTGAACGAAATGTAATGGTACTTTCAGACCCTTGTGATTGCTATTTTGATGTGTTTGTTTTTTCTGATTTTCTCAAAATCGTGCAAGCAAGGGGACGCAAAGCAAAGAATCTACTTCTTATGGCCTTAGCAGAATACGCTGTGTGCATGGACTAACACAATATCAGTGGTCATTTACTGTGTCAACTTAGTAACCCTTGCATATCGTGCTCACTCAAGTATTGAATAATTTTTTTATGATCTAAATGTTTGTGGTTTATAAAAAAATGTGATATATTTTAGTTATAAATACATTAATTAATATATTCATTCAAACAGCACTAGAATGCGGGAAGAAAGAGCAATGGTGACAAAATGCAGACAGAATTTTCCGTAAGGGTTTCAAACATTTCTGAACACAATCATACATGTACTTCATGTGTACTGTTATTTTTAGTGCTGTATTTATAGATATAATTTCACGTATTTAAATCATATTTTCCAGCAATGACTTCAAATTCGGAACCACACCCATATCACATTTTCTTCAATAACTCCAAACATGTGTAAACATTTACCATGTGCATATAAATTCAGATTTCACGAGCTCTTTCCTATTCGAGTACCTCATACACCCCTGCATGGATTTGAGTTGGATTCGCCTTTTATTCGTGAGCCGACACACTCGCAAACGCTGATTGGATAAAGATTGCGAGAATCTTTAATATTGTACTAAGTTTACATAATAATATCCCAAACTGTATCTATTTTTCCGAGAAGCGAATGTACAAACTGTGCCACTAATGAGTGATCTGAATAATATGCGAGTCCGATTAATATTGTACTGAGTTTACAAAATAATATCCCAGACTGTATCTATTTTTCCGAGAAAAAATCGAAATCACAGAAAGCAGGATTTATAGATTCATTAAGTATCTTTCCTGATCCCTTATCCCCTCGTTGTAAGAACTAAAATTAGGATTGAAAATCGAATGTGCCAAACTATATATGCCACTAATGATCAGTTTATTTTCTCAATTATGTACAATATCATACTTTACACAATTACATGTACACTTCTCATAATATTTCACAAATCATTGTAAATACCATTATGTGGCACCTAATACTCCCTCTTGGGGGTCATAGCCACTACAACCTGTAAATATGTTACATTGATTTTAATAACAAAAAAAGAGTGATCTGAATAATATGCGAGTCCGTTTAATATTGTACTAAGTTTACATAATGCTATCTCAGACTGTATCTATTTTTCCGAGAAAACACAATCGAAATCACAGGAAGTAGGATTTATAGATTCATTTAGTATCTTTCCCGATCCCTCATCCCCTCGTTGTAAGCACTAAAATTAGGATTGAAAATCAAATGCAATTTGTTTACTGAAACGTGACCACTGTTCATTTAAAGTCTTGTTTCTACGGGGTCACCAAGCAGCACTGTCTATTCGATGGGCCTCCACAAAGTCCTGGTGTGAACTCTCCACAGAAACAGCCATCAGAGACCAACTTACACCCGCCTTGTTGTGCCGTACATTGGTTGTCCTCTGATGTGTTCTTGACACAGCATTTCACGTCGTCATGGCCAATACATTGATCACTATAGAAATTGCCGCCTTGGCAACCTTTTGACGTATGCTGACATTGTCCACCAAGGCAGTAACACAAGGTAGCATCTACTGTGATATTCGTATAGGAAATACCTGAATGAGGAAAAACCCATAGCAACATGTAAGCATGGATTTTAAAACACCATATCCAATAAAAAAAATGAACTTATATCTTTAATTCTTGTTTTTCTCTTGCGTTGTATTTGTTTTAAATCAATTAATATCTTATTTTAAATCACATGTGATACATCATACATATATGTGGCAAGTTCCCAGTGGGACTTTTATGAGCATCAAGGCAATTAATTTTTTTTATTTTTTTTTATTTATTTTTTATTTTTTTTATTTTTTTTTAAGGTTAAGTTTTATTTCTTTGCATAATTTTATATAACAATATTTAACATACTAGGAAGGCCGAGGTAAAATTACATTGTTGGCCTCCCTATTAAATAAAAGTAGCAAAATAAAGTTGATATAAATGGTTTCAGACATGTATTGTAAATGTATTGTTTATAAGAGTCTCAGTGGCCACAGTTGAGATGATGATAACAATAGTGATGATGATGGTGATGAAATGTTGAGGCTAATGCTAAATGATAGAATCAACAAAATTTGCCGTAAGGTTCATAATATCAGCATTACATTTATCTGAGAACTTATGATCACCAAAAAGTATGGTGTGGACTTTATCTACACTATTAGACTGGCAAATTCTCTAAAGTTAAAATTTTGCAGCTCTTGTAGTTTTTGGGTAAAGATTGACCTTGTTCCAGTTGATAGAGGGCAGTAAAGTAATAAATGGGACTTGGTTTGCTGGGCATGTCCACAAGGGCAACTTGGGTCTGGATAGTTGTTGAAATTGTGCCTAAAAAAGTCTGATTTAAGTGCTAGGTCTGCTCTTAAACGGTTTAGTTTAATTTCAATAGATCGATTTAAGTTTAATTTTGTTGTCAACACAGACCTAGGGTTTGGGTTATATTTGGTTTTCTTATACCTTGACTTGAAGGCTGATATTGAGGGGCTGCGTTTAACTTCAGGTGAAATCATTTTCCATATTCTTATTGGTGCTATGGCAGGAGAGTTTGTAAATTTCATTGAAGATTTTGCTGGAATATTATATTCGTGCTGGGCACGAAGTACACGCTCTGTACTTGGATTTTTCAGTTCATTGTATATAGATTGTACGTAACTAGGAGTCTTGTTTTTGGATACCTTATACATTAGAGTTGCCATTTTTTCTTCTCTTCTCTGATTTAGTGTCTTCCAGTTAAGTGAATTTAAGACTTTGATTTCAGAGGAGCCCTTAATGGCCCCGGAGACTAACAAGGCAGCTCTGTAGTGTAACCTATCCAAGGTATTTAGGGCATAATGTGGTGAACAATTATAAAAGATTGATCCGAATTCTAATTTTGGCAAAATGAACGATAAGTACATTCTTTCAAGGTGTTTGGATGAAATTTTATTTTTCAATGCTGTAAGTGGATTTAGCATTTTATCAATTTTGACTTTTAACTGGGCTATATGTTCTTTGAAGTCAAGGTGGTTATCTAAGATAACTCCAAGATGTTTATGATAATTTACTCTTTCAATTATTCTGTTGCTCAAGGTCAAAATAGGAAAGTTTCTTACATTTTGAATTGATTTGGAAAAAATTATCTCTTTGGTTTTCGTGGGCTTAAAGTTAAGCCCCCAAACCCTTGACCAGTCATAGACATTGTCTAGATCATGTTGTAATAATGTATTTGATGTTAAAACATTTTCAAACTTGTGAACGGGGACATGTATAGAAGTATCGTCAGCATAAATATAACATTTTGATTGGATGACCTCTGGGAGATCATTTATAAATAGCAGAAATAGGATGGGGCCTAGAATAGAGCCTTGAGGCACACCAGAGTTTATAAAATTTTCTTCAGAGAATTCGGATAAAGATCCATTAAGGCGTGTGCATACTCTTCTATTGTCTAGGTAGGATTTCATAAGTTTCAACAGGTTATCATTGAAGCAATTAATTTGCAAAACTACAAGTGTTGCCAAAATACCCATGGTTCAATCTCAACTCCATTTTTCTCTACTGTACAGCATCAAGAACATAAACAAATGCACATTTGCCAGATATACAGGGTGTCCCGAATGTATGCCCCCCCCCCCTTAGGCAGACACATACCAGTGCCATCATAGTATGAGTCATATATCATTTTAAAGGTTATTCAAAGTTACATCAATTTGACAAGTATCATGGTTCAACTCTCAAATTAGAAAAGTGACATTCATTTTAAAATGTAATGTTTGGCCAAAATAAAGTTCAATATTACAACGCATTATTAGTCTATGAGTCCTCTCCTGGCCTTGGTCCCTCCCAAGTGTTGTCTATTTTGTAATCTAATAGCAATTAAGTATGAGACATTTAAATAAATATTATTACAGTACCTGTTTGTTCAGTTGTCCCTGTTGGTGTAGTGGTTTCTAAAAAATAAACTAAAATGTTTAACAAATCTTGCACCACACCTCCTTGCTCATTTAAATGTGCAACTCGTGGATCAGGAAGATGGCAACAGGAGCGGTTCTAAATAAACTGAAACTTTAAATTCAAGGAGCTTTGAATATCTGCATATGTTTTATATTTTGTAATCAAGGTGTAAATGAGGGCCCATTTAAGCTCGGAAATAAGGTTATCTCCGAAATATTTGTGGGGTTGGCGACAATGAACTTGGTAAATAAATCTCAAATTGTAAGATATTTCAATAGCATCATCAACTAAATATGAATTGCCCGCATAAAACCAATGGTTTATTGTTGGTTTTACCTGATTCTGCAAATGGATCCTTGCAGATATGACCACAACCATTAGAGCAACATTTCTGGACACCAGGACAACTATAATCGTCCAAACAGGAGTTGACACAGATCCCCACAGTTCCAGAGGGAACACTTGGACAGTTTCCTGCAGAATAGATAGCATTACTAACTCTTAAATCCCCATAGTTCCAGAGGGAACACTTGGACAGATTCCTACAGAATAGATAGCATTACTAACCCTTAAATCCCCACAGTTCCAGAGGGAACACTTGGACAGTTTCCTGCAGAATATATAGCATTACTAACTCTTAAATCCCCACAGTTCCAGAGGGAACACTTGGACAGATTCCTACAGAATAGATAGCATTACTAACCCTTAAATCCCCATAGTTCCAGAGGGAACACTTGGACAGTTTCCTGCAGAATAGATAGCATTACTAACCCTTAAATCCCCACAGTTCCAGAGGGAACACTTGGACAGATTCCTGCAGAATAGATAGCATTACTAACTCTTAAATCCCCACAGTTCCAGAGGGAACACTTGGACAGATTCCTACAGAATAGATAGCATTACTAACCCTTAAATCCCCACAGTTCCAGAGGGAACACTTGGACAGATTCCTGCAGAATAGATAGCATTACTAACTCTTAAATCCCCATAGTTCCAGAGGGAACACTTGGACAGTTTCCTGCAGAATAGATAGCATTACTAACCCTTAAATCCCCATAGTTCCAGAGGGAACACTTGGACAGATTCCTGCAGATTAGATAGCATTACTAACCCTTAAATCCCCATAGTTCCAGAGGGAACACTTGGACAGATTCCTACAGAATAGATAGCATTACTAACCCTTAAATCCCCACAGTTCCAGGGGGAACACTTGGACAGTTTCCTGCAGAATAGATAGCATTACTAACCCTTAAATCCCCATAGTTCCAGAGGGAACACTTGGACAGATTCCTACAGAATAGATAGCATTACTAACCCTTAAATCCCCATAGTTCCAGAGGGAACACTTGGACAGTTTCCTGCAGAATAGATAGCATTACTAACCCTTAAATCCCCACAGATCCAGAGGGAACACTTGGACAGTTTCCTGCAGAATAGATAGCATTACTAACCCTTAAATCCCCACAGTTCCAGAGGGAGCACTTGGACAGTTTCCTGCAGAATAGATAGCATTACTAACCCTTAAATCCCCACAGTTCCAGAGTGAGCACTTGGACAGTTTCCTGCAGAATAGATAGCATTACTAACCCTTAAATCCCCATAGTTCCAGAGGGAGCACTTGGACAGTTTCCTGCAGAATAGATAGCATTACTAACCCTTAAATCCCCACAGTTCCAGAGGGAACACTTGGACAGTTTCCTGCAGAATAGATAGCATTACTAACCCTTAAATCCCCACAGTTCCAGAGGGAGCACTTGGACAGTTTCCTGCAGAAAAGATAGCATTACTAACCCTTAAATCCCCACAGTTCCAGAGGGAACACTTGGACAGTTTCCTGCAGAATAGATAGCATTACTAACTCTTAAATCCCCCCAGTTCCAGAGGGAACACTTGGACAGTTTCCTGCAGAATGGATAGCATTACTAACTCTTAAATCCCCATAGTTCCAGAGGGAGCACTTGGACAGTTTCCTGCAGAATAGATAGCATTACTAACCCTTAAATCCCCACAGTTCCAGAGGGAACACTTGGACAGTTTCCTGCAGAATGGACAGCATTACTAACCCTTAAATCCCCACAGTTCCAGAGGGAACACTTGGACAGTTTCCTGCAGAATAGATAGCATTACTAACCCTTAAATCCCCACAGTTCCAGAGGGAACACTTGGACAGTTTCCTGCAGAATGGATTGCATTACTAACCCCTAAATCCCCACAGTTCCAGAGGGAACACTTGGACAGTTTCCTGCAGAATAGATAGCATTACTAACCCTTAAATCCCCATAGTTCCAGAGGGAACACTTGGACAGATTCCTGCAGAATAGATAGCATTACTAATTCTTAAATCCCCATAGTTCCAGAGGGAACACTTGGACAGTTTCCTGCAGAATGGATTGCATTACTTACCCTTAAATCCCCACAGTTCTAGAGGGAACACTTGGACAGTTTCCTGCAGAATAGATAGCATTACTAACCCTTAAATCCCCACAGTTCCAGAGGGAACACTTGGACAGATTCCTACAGAATAGATAGCATTACTAACCCTTAAATCCCCACAGTTCCAGAGGGAACACTTGGACAGATTCCTGCAGAATAGATAGCATTACTAACCCTTAAATCCCCATAGTTCCAGAGGGAACACTTGGACAGATTCCTACAGAATATATAGCATTACTAACCCTTAAATCCCCATAGTTCCAGAGGGAACACTTGGACAGATTCCTGCAAAATAGATAGCATTACTAACCCTTAAATCCCCATAGTTCCAGAGGGAGCACTTGAACAGTTTCCTGCAGAATAGATAGCATTACTAACCCTTAAATCCCCATAGTTCCAGAGGGAACACTTGGACAGATTCCTGCAGAATAGATAGCATTACTAACCCTTAAAGCAGCATTTATTTACATTATTTCATAATGAAATAAAGGTTATTTTTAATTCTTCATTCAAATCGTTAATAGGAAGTTTATCACGTGTTTATACAAAAAGGATGGACTGTGACCAAAGCAGCAACTTTGCAAAGGATCACCTGTTTTGGGTTCAGAAGTCGATGGAGATATTGTTGTGTTGATAGTATTTCCAGAGCATTCCGTTCCGCCTCCAACTATAACATATATAAAATATTTCATACACTGTGGTTTTTACCCGAATAGAGTTTATGAATGTGATGCACATGGATGTAGGTATACAGGGTGTTCAATAAGAAGTGACAATTTCAAATAGCTTTCTGCAGGGTGTCAAATAAATATTTTCTCCCCCAATAATTTCAATGGTATGTACATTTGTGCATATACATGCATCTAGTTGACAAAGTCATCTATAACTTCTTTTGGAGTTGCTCCATGAAGCGTACATGAGTCTTATATTGCTGAAGCTCATCGAGCCATCGATAAAAAGTTTACTATATTCCAAAACCTTTTAATGCAGAAGTCAGAAAACAGGTTATTTCTATTTCAATTTTATTTATATGCTCTTGATATAATGAGGCAAATAAGTTGAAACAATTAGCATTAGCACGGATTATATGACATCGTATGTTGAATATATCCCAACCATGTACGGTACCAACCAAAGATTGGCCGAAATGAGTACGCATGTACCTAGCTTCTCAAAGATAGCTTTGTTTTCATCCATACGGATCTTTATGTCCTTGAATCCCCTTCTTCCTTTCAGAGCATTTCTGTAGTCTCCTTGGTTGGTGTATTCTTTGGCAGCTTCTTTCCACTTCCGTTTTTTAATCAGAGCTTGCATGGCTGGGCTCAAATGTCCTCGATACAGGGCGTCCACAATTGCAGCTTGAACTTCAGCACACATCACTTCAAATCCTGGTATCAAGTGTCTAACAACAGGGATAAATTGTGCACCTAGGTCTGCCTGAAATATAATTGTCAAATCTATGCATACAACTTTAAAAGCGTATTACCTTATTACAATGACATGGAGCAATGATGACCTACTGAAATAAACTGAATTGAAATGCATATAACTTTTAAAGAACGAAATAGCAAAAATATGTAAAGGGATATCATATGGCTTATCTTTCAGTACCTTGAATAATGTTTTGATTTGATCATCTCTTAGTGCAAGTTGCTTGTTGTAAACTTTGTCAAAGTCAACCCCGGGTAGTATCGTTTCCCAAACTTTCCGTGCGCCAGGACGTTCCATGTTGAACCCGATCCCTATAGATAGACAGGTACCTCATCTATTCGATTGGTGGTTTCAATATAGAAGAATTAAAGCGAGGCACAAATAGAAAGGATTTTCCCAAATGTATTACTTTACCCTTAATGCAAGTTCCAGATTCCAGAATCAATTTCTGTATATTATCTAAATAATTTACTAATCCGAAACAGCATTCCCAATCGACTACATAAACATACTTTCCTTTAACGCCCCATTATGTGCCCATTAGCTAAACACTATGGAAAAACACAAAAACAAATTTGTGTTTCAGACTTACCTACAGTTCGGTTGCCCTTTGAATTATCATATGCCATATTCTTCTTCCCTTCACATTTCCCAATGTACTCGGCAATTTCATCAATGTGGATCGTCTCTAAGAGAATACCAAAGTTTTTTTTGTAAAAGCGATGATAGCAATATCAATTTCAAAAGATTAAACTTTGCAATGTTTCATCATTTTCCATTTTCATTCATGGATATCTTTATTTTGCAATGAGTTATATCAACGTATGGGGATAATATTGTCTCTCCTTAAAAACTCCCAAACGGAGAAAATTTTAACATCTGCAACGTGAGTTAGGTTCCAATTGGAGTTAAAAGATGTCCCTGGATACGGTTTAAAATGATTCGAACACGAACCAATACGAAGTACATGACATAACTAAGAATAAGTAAATAAGTTTTAAGTTAAGAATCAGTTTTTCTGTTAGATTAAGAAAGATTATCTATCGAGTCAATTATATTTGAAATATAATTAAAAGATGGGTTGCGCTCATTCTTACCATTTCTCACAGTTGCTGTCACAGCAAATGTGCCTACAATGGTTGATGCTGTTGTCTGTACATGGGCAATGAGGCTGGTTACAATCGACCCAATCGCAGTAGTAAATGTTTCATAATCACCTCGATGACCGTATTTGACTATAATTGTTGATGTTAACATTGACTCTTTACATACCGTTGTCGAGTAAAATGCAATGGAACTAAATCCACGTAAGAAGTTGATGACTTCTGGTGCACAATCAGGTGTAGAAAAATTAGCAGTTATTGAGAACGTCACTGCACGAAATCTGCAATTTATAAACATTATATGTAATATAAATGTGCTTTATTGTTTTAATTGCATAAGGGAGTCTTCTGTTTACACGAATGGGGGTTTCGTGCAAAGTAGGGACTCCCCAATGTGTTTTAGTTTAAATTGATCAATTCCCTTTTGGATTTATTGGTACATGTGTCACATGACACACCACAATACATTCTATTCATTTTAAATTCCCAACCGGGAAAGACACATTGATAGGGAGGTAGGATTATTTTGTTTTATTTCCCTCCCTCCTCCCTGTATTACACACTTAATCTTTTTATAATACTTTTAATTGTACTAATAAGCAGAGAACGTGAGTATGCACTTAATTAAGCTAATTAGGTTTTTATATTAGGTGATCGTACTAATTAGCTAGATTATGGTCGTATCTTATTAAGCTAATCTAGCTAATTATAAAGCTTATTAAGCTATTTATGCTTATCTAGCTAATTAAGCTAATTAAGTGCTCAACTTAAGACTCCCCGATGACCAAATTAATATAAACATAGAAATTGATAAGATAAAGAAATATACCCGTAGATTTGTTATTTTCTGGAAAGGATTAAGTATGGGGTTTATTCCGTCACAATATGCTATTGACCAAAGGGTACTAACCATATAATTTTTTAATGAGCCAATGACAATTGATGAAAACAAGAATAAAATAAAGGACGAAAATATTTTTCACCTTCAAAAATCTCGAGAAACCCGAACCAGTGAATACCCTCCGATAAGCTAAATATTCATCGAAAACCTGTTAAAAGTTTTTATGGAATACAAATGGCTGTATTTCAGTCATCTTTTTCTCTTTTGTAGTTCACCATAGGTTAAATCTTGCGAGCATAAAACAATATCTACTCATCATTTGAATTATTATTCTGTATAAAATGAATACAGTATTCAAACCAATATTAAGGCATCACGTATAACTTTTTAAAACGGCACTATTAAAAAAGATTTAATAAATCAAACAAAACTATACCGACGAGAAACTATTCTGTCCAAAACGACCCATCTACCACGGAGATTTGTTTTGTAACCAATTCTGGGTTGGATGACAAATTCCCCACATGAATCCTATAAACAAAATTATAATTTGAATAGTTTTGCATTTAACGGATTGTATAAACTATATTTGATGAATGCTAATCTAATCTTGATAATGAAGTTGTTTGAAAATAGCGATATAACAAATCATTAAACCTCTGATTTTGAAAAAACAATACTTTAAGAGTGTAAAGTAGAGTATTTACATTTATAAAGAAGCTATTTATGACCCATGGTTGTCATAGGAACATAAAAACTCAGGGTCAGGGTAGGATAAATCAAATTACGCTCTAGATAGTGAGATATATAGGAGTGTCATACGGATGGGTAAGTAACATGCTAGTTTTAATGTAGAACTCTCCGACAATATAAAGATCCATTTACTTACTATTGTTTCCCATGGACATTGGGATTTTATAACATAGGCGCTGCCCCGTGTCATAAGTGATTCTTTAAAGACTTGAATAGCATGTCTATGTCTACACAAAGTATTGTTCTCATCTCCTGTAAATACAAGTAATGGTCAGTAGATAAAATGAGATAAAATTTAGTTATTTAAAGCGACATTCCTTACTAGCATGTTGGTAGCCTGATGGATGGAAGCCTTTATGTAAGATCATTGAACATGTATTATTCATTTACAGTAGGCTGCCAACTCAAAATATGCCAACAAGAAATAATGTCATGTCCTAATTTTCTTTCGCATAAAAGAACCGAACAAAACATGGCCATCTTGAACATTTCTTTTTGAACAGAGCTCCTTCGTCCCTCGGATAAAGCTTATAAAAGGATTGGTATATCGGTCATCAATAATTTTACACATCGTCAATCTAGTGATCATCTTTTGAATGGTAACAGTTTAATTTGAAAAGAGTATTTAAATACTTTTTTCTATATTGTTTTAGAAAACACATCAGATTCTTCTTTTGTTCTTGGTATCATATGTTCGGAATGAAACGAAACATCTATCCGAACCTCATTGGAACAAAACACACAACGTGTTTAGGTCTCTCAATATTTTAATTGTTCAAAGTAAAGTTTGGTTGATTTGGAAAAATTATCTTGTTTTTGTTTTAATTTTTTGAATACTTTTTGTCAAATCAACCAAATTTTCCTTAGTATAACTTTAATAACTTTAAAGGACCGTGTTTTTACAGAATGTTTTCAATAATTGGTTTAAGAGAAAAACAATGTTGATTTCAGTTCCACATATCGATACCAATCCTTTAAACCAAATCCGTCTACTGGTATTTGAGCAATTAAGAATTATTTTTTATACATAACGGCGGCCATTTTGAAATTTTTGATTTTGTCTGCCGTCTTGAGAATTTCTTCTTGAGCAGAACTCATGTGTACAGCAGACCTCATCAACATATAAAATTTGAACAAAATTCGTCCACTGGTATTGGTATTTTAAGAAAAATGGCAGCCATTTGAAATTCAATGGCCATCCTGGATGGTATACCATGGTCAATTAACATGTAATTTTGTATCTAAAAAATAACACAGTTTCACAGTATTTCATGGTCTAATACCATCAAGTGCAGTGATATCATGGTCTAGACATTCAACCATGATATGCAATGGAGCCATCCAATTATCATGATCTACCATTGTATACCATGGTCACTATACTTAAAATTTTGCACTTAAAAATACTGCTATTTTGCAGTATTTCATGGTTGCAAACCATCAAATGCAATGAAGTACAGTCAAGATGTTTAATCGAAGACTGGAGGTTGGACTTACGAAATATTGAGTTGATCTCCTATTTTACCATCAACAGTCAAAAAAAAGTAAAGCAAATTTGTTTAACAAAAAAAATTTGTTTCTAGGGTTATTAACTTAATTATTCATAATAGAAATTAATTTATTAAATAAAGGAACAAGTTGTGATTTTGATGAATATCAGAATCACTAATTATAATAATTTGGTTATCTAATTAACATTTATTAATAAAGATATTTCATGTAAAAAATACTTTTGAACATGGTCTTTCATTGTATTTCACTGCATTGCAAGAGAGACCATTGCATTTCATTGCATATCATGATCAATCATTGTATTTCATTGCATTTCATGGTGAAACGTGGCATTTCATTGTATTTCATGATCCATTTCAACTCTGACCAATTTTAGACTTCGACACTCTCCTAGAGTTCTTTTGGCAATGAAATACCATGGTATAATCATGGTATCTGATGGTCAGGTTTGACAATGAAATGCTATGAAATACAATCAACCACGAAGTGCAATGATATGCCGTGATAAATGATAGTTATGATTATGGCAATGAAATACCATGGTATGACCATAGTATTTGATGGTCAGGTTTGACAATAAAATGCCATGAAATACCACCAACCATGAAATACAATGATAAAACCATGATAAATGAGAGTTATGATTTTGGCAATGAAATGACATGGTATGACCATGGTAATTGATTGTCACACGGTACAATGAAATGCAATGAAATGTCATCAACCATGATATACCATGGTAATACCATGGTAAATGATGGTTAGGTACATAACAATAAAATATCATGGTACAACCATGGCATTTGATTGTTACATCGTACAATGAAATACCATCAACCATGATATACAATGGTAATACCATGGTAAATGATGGTCAGGAACATGGCAATGAAATACCATGGTATTTGATTGTCACATCTTACAATGAAATGCCATGAAATGCAATCAACCATGATATACCATGGTAATACCATGGTAAATGATGGTCAGGAACATGGTAATGAAAACCATGATAATACCATGGTATTTGATGGTTGACTTTGAACATGAAACACCATGAAACATGGTATAACATGATATACCATGGTATACCATGGTAAAAAATTGACCAAAAAACATCATTGCCACCATGGTCAGAGTTGATGATGATTTTATTGCCGATCATGATAGACCATGGTAAACCATGGTATCATGGTTTACGTTTAAACATGGTAATGATAGAAATAAGCACAATATCAGCTGCAGCAATGCATTTGAAGCATTATTTAAAATTAGTAATAATGAAACGTAATCAGCTCATATTAAAGGATGTAAAGTGCTGTGGCTCACGCACTGATACAAATTGTAGGCTATGATGAAATATGATACGTTTTTGACAAAAGTCGAAATCACAACACTTCCTATACATGAATGCCTACACAATTCTTTTGTATAATATTGGGAGGAAAAACAACAAGCATGATGAACAAGCTTGACCAGAAGACTCGCCTTTATACTCATCCGACGAGTTGCCCTTCCCTTTTCCAGAAGATTCGCCTTTATCCTCATCCGATGACTTGCCCTTCCCTTTACCAGAAGATTCGCCTTTATCCTCATCCGATGACTTGCCCTTCCCTTTACCAGAAGACTCGCCTTTATCCTCATCCGACGACTTGCCCTTCCCTTTTCCAGAAGAATCGCCTTTATCCTCATCTGATGACTTGCCCTTCCCTTTACCAGAAGACTGATCTTTATCCTCATCTGTTGCAAGCAGACATATACTGACTTAAAGCACAATCATTCTTAGGTGAGTAGGACGATACATGTTTTAATCGGAATGTCTAAATGACATCATTCAAGAACCACAAAACACACAGGAAAAGCTAATATGGACAAAATTAAAAAATGACACGCAATGTATGACAAACATACAGAGTTTGATAGAATTGTATTTCGTAACATGATAACTATAATAGCTAGAATAAAACACGAAGACAATTAAACAAACAAATGAAAAGTAATGGAAACACATCCAGGTGGATACGGAGTCAATAATGGATGTAATATTGGCCACATTTCTAAATATAAGTCTCATATTGTTGTGACCATCGCACAAAACATGATACTCCACAATGCAGATCATCTTTGTTTTGCTGAGGAATGAAAGAAATGTACAAAGGATAGAAAGCTATGAAATCCAACTATGCCCTCCAAGCGTCAGCTACTATATTTTATAGAAAAGGTCTTGTATCGTTGCCATGTTGTTGTTTATTTACCCTGTGATGTCACAAGTACACTCATCTTGCACGTGTTACTTTTTAGGATGAAAGATGGCAATATCTTGCATGGGGTACGGATGACGGTATCTTGGTTAGTCATACGAGAAAACCTTACCTTGAGCACAATGATCCGCGATCATAAAGTAATCGACGTCACCAAGTTTATCCTCAAACTTTGCATATGTATGAATGACTTCCACAAATTGTGCTTTACTAGCAGACAGATGTTGGAAATTTGGAGGCAAGCTGTACGTCCGATTGTACATATATTCTCTGGATGGGTCAAGATCTGTAGGCGCCAGCGCTGGATTAGAATTAATGCAGTTGGTTTGGTTCAAACTTTAGCGATATATAAAAAAAATCGTTGATGTCATTGTATTTAATAGGTTCAAACTTTAACAATGGGTAGAAAACTATTTCTTTGTGTCATTATTTTTATGATTTGTAAAAATGTATGGAAATTCAACACATATGAGATCTAACAGTTTCAATTTAAATATATGATGTACAAAATATTTTATTACCAGTTATCCAAGCCAATTCAACATCTACAATATTGACACAAATATGGGCTCCAATTCCAAAACCAATGCAGCGAAGTTTTTTGTTCATCTCGGGGTATTGGTAATATCTTCCAATCACGGCGGATCGAATGCGCATAATCTTTGTCTGTAGATCTATTTGCATGTGGTCTCCAATTCTAAATACCATCACCTCATAGTTGAACTGAAAATAATAAAATAATATAGTTTTGTGCAGCATTTTGTTTATCTTCATTGTTTATGATTCGCTTCACGACGATACATGGTTTTACTTTTTAAGGGTCAAGTTGGCAAGTCATTAAATCCAATGTGAAAAGTCCATTCATCAGCATACTGTTTTACTAGTGACATTTAACTTGCGTTATTGATAATTTCATGCGCTGCTGTCATGTGAAATGATGTGTTTGGTTTGGCTGGAATCAGACACACTTTGCCTAACTATGTGACTGTGAATCAGAAGAAGTGAGCAGCTCCCACAATTCTTTCATATTCTATCGTATTCGGGGATTCCCCACTACGTCATTTTAATCATCTCCAATCAAATTGCAGGATGTGATCACTTGAACAATCATGAGCACGTGCTCTCTCAGTGCTGCGCATGCGCAAAGTTAAATTTGAAATCGCGGGAATGGCGTTAACCGAACTCCCGTGCAGTGATATATCACTATACCGAGACACTGCATGGGAGTTCGAGCGTTAACATCAGTTCACCATCATCATTTCAAACCTACGGTTATACTATTGAAGTTACTCGATCCATAACCTACTTGAAGAGAATACTCATAAAACTAAAGCGAACTTTTGGAGATCCATTCCAATGGCAAATGAGGCCTGTTAATAAAATTTGTTTTCGTACATGCCAATACGAAACGTCATCTTTGGGAATTCTTCCCCCCTGGTGTGGATTAAGAATTTCATCGAATAGAGTATACAGGTCGAACAAATGCTTATACAACGCGCACGAACGTTTTTACCTTCACTAAGCATGATGTGAAGACCACACACAATGATGTAACATAAAGTGGTTTCTAGAGATGTTCGAGATTTATTTGTTTTTTCGAAATCTTGCGTGACTTTGACTTTCTATTGAGGGCGCCGTATGTGGAAACTTGGAAGTAATTGTCACGTGACTTCAAATCTCGCACCCTATGTGAGTTGCACGTTGTTTGTGACATTCTTTTCGAGCGGGAGCCATCTTATGCGAGTTTGAACTGAAATGCGTGTGTAAAATTGACATATTCGCTCCGGAGAACCCCCGATAAGGAGAGCTTTTTAAATGGACATATTGCTCTTTTATTCTGGATGTGATCATCATGGAAGTTTAACACCACATCAGAGATGATCTTAGATATTAAGTGATCATAGATATTACCAAAACAGTGTGATAAATTGCTTTATTAAGAACATTTTTTCCAAGGCAATGAACTCGTTTTTAAGACTCTTTATTTGTGGTTAAAATCCGTGTATAGCCTGATGGGATAGGAACAAATTGTCACAGATATTTACCTGAACTCATAGAAAATAAAAAGAAATCAATGGGCGTTTCCCTTGAAATATGTTTTTGAGACCTTTTCCACTCATGAGAATGACGGAATAATGGAACCAATTCGTAAAAAAATCTTAAAATATATTTTTGGTGGAGCGCCCATCGATTTCTTTACGAAAACTAAGACTTTGCTAACCCCCCTATCACACCAAACTAGTTCTTACCCGTTCTTGCCAGTCCTACGAAAACGTCGTAAAACGGGCTCAATCTGGCTGTGGTCGGGAAATATGTCTGAAATAATTAGCTTCTTCGTTCTTAAACAGTCTTCAATACGTCCATCTCGTTCGCAGTTCGTTCAGGTCGCACCACGTCGGTGTGCAACGTCGTAGAACGCGTCCCTTAGTCTAGAAGGTCAACATGACCTGATTACAGAACGGTATGGTCGCCATCGAATTTTGAATCGATTCAAAATTCTAAAATCACATTCCCGTCTGAGAACGTTCATAAAGTTCGTAAATATATCTTAGAAAGTTGCAGCTACGTTCATTCCGTTCGCACACAGTTTCAAACCAGTTTTGAAGAACGCAGTGGCAACTTGTTTGGTGTGATAGCTATATTTTTGCTAACTCGTTCATAACCAGCGTTCTTAATCAGTTTAAACCCGTTTGCAATTAGTTCTACCTCGTTCTCAACACGTCCTCAGACAGATCAACTCGTTGTTAAAACGTCCCTAGTAGGATTGAAGTACGACGGTTCCGTTCGTAGTACGTCCAGCTCGTCATTAGTGCGTTGTCACTCGTTCTAATTGTAGAACGTGACGACCACGAAAACATTTTGAGCATTGTCTAAGTTCTAGAGGACCTACCCGTTCGAGTACGTTCGATGAAGTTTGTAAATAGATCCCAAACGGTTCTTGGTAGGTCCAGTCCGTTCATACACAGTTGAAGCCCGTTTTCGAGAACGTAGTGAGAACAAGTTTGATGTGATAGTAGGGTTCATTATGTTACTAACCCCCCTATCACACCAAACTAGTTCTTATCCGTTCTTGCCAGTCCTATGAAAACGTCGTAAAAACGGGCTCAATCTGGCTGTGGTCGGGAAATATGTCTGAAATAATTAGCTTCTTCGTTCTTTAACAGTCTTCAATACGTCCATCTCGTTCGCAATTCGTTCAGGTCGCACTACGTCGGTGTGCAACGTAGTAGAACGCGTCCCTTAGTCTAGAAGGTCAACATGACCTGATTACAGAACGGTATGGTCGCCATCGAACTTTGAATCGATTCAAAATTCTAAAATCACATTCCCGTCTGAGAACGATCATAAAGTTCGTAAATAGACCTTAGAAAGTTGCAGCTACGATCATTCCGTTCGCACACAGTTTAAAACCAGTTTTGAAGAACGCAGTGGCAACTTGTTTGGTGTGATAGCTATATTTTTGCTAACACGTTCATAAGCAGTGTTAAACACGTTCTTAATCAGTTAAAACCAGTTTGCAATTAGTTCTACCTCGTTCTCAACACGTCCTCAGACAGTTCAACTCGTTGTTAAAACGTCCCTAGTAGGATTGAAGTACGACGGTTCCGTTTGTAGTACGTCCAGCTCGTCGTTAGTACGTTGTCACTCGTTCTAATTGTAGAACGTGACGACCACGAGAACATTTTGAGCATTGTCTAAGTTCTAGAGGACCTACCCGTTCGAGTACGTTCGATGAAGTTTGTAAATAGATCCCAAACGGTTCTTAGTAGGTCCAGTCCGTTTGTACACAGTTGAAGCCCGTTTTCGAGAACGTAGTGAGAACTAGTTTGGTGTGATAGTAGGGTTAGCCACATTCTATTTTGCTCGCACAGTAATGGGAAAGTTATTGATTTTAAAGAGCCCGATAAAGTATAAAATGCGCATGCGTCCAGGTGTTGATAAACTATAAATAGCGAAAATCCAGGGTTTGTCACCACAAGGTAAGCCAGGACGTGTTGAGAGAACAGCTAGTGTTGATATTGAATTTATATGTAGCCAGATAAGTTTCCTTATTGAAATTACATATGGTTATTAGCAATACTTTGTAGGTGCTAAATAATAAAATATTTAGAGTATATATGAGAGAAATTGGTCATTTCGAACCTGTTGAAAAGTTTGTGGCTCTCGGCTACACCGGGGAATTTACTTCCATGAGTACACACATAAATGTGGGGTTCCCCAAGAGGTACGCGACAAGGTGACCTGGCATCAAATGTGCGACTAAATGCTACTATCGAGAAGATAAAATAACGAATACGACAATAAGTTATTGCATGTGACAATTCCGAGCCTTCATCTCACTGAAGTATTTTGAAGTGAAAATAGGATTTTTGTTTTGATACATGGATTCAGACGAACGTAACTTTATTCTGACAACTAATCAAAACTGAACAAAATTGATTGTACGTAACAGACAATTTATTGTTTTACAATGTTTTGATTGGCTAAACGAATGAAACCAACAAATTATGACATGTGAAATGACAATTTTGAAATGTAAAATTTAAAAGTGACAAACACAACCTCCCTATCCACTCTTTGGGAGCCCTAGTAAATTAGTAATATGTACATGCAGCAGTGATAGTGTGCAGCTTATTATCACACTACGCTTTGTATTCTAAAGCCTGTTGTTTGTAATAACACTGTTCACTCAACGTATGTTTTGTGTATGGGCAGTCAACGATAATCATTGTTTTATCCCGGTTATATGACCTCGGCAATTATAACAAAACCGTACTAAACGAAAAAACGCAAATAAGAGAAAGCTTTCACACACATATAAAAAATGAACTAGTCTAATCCGCCAGTATAAACTCTGTGCTATACGTAGCCGGGTCAGGCGCACACTTTAAGCAAAATGAAGAAAATATTTCAGGATGTATAAATTCACCTCATTTCTAAAAGTATTTTAAAATTTCATGATGATCACTTCCAGAATAAAATAGTTGTGTCCTTCTAAAAAGCTCTCCTTATCGGGGGTTCTCCTTTACTTTGATTCGTCTGTAATTCGTTTAGTATTCTATGCTACTTATAACACAATCCGGAGTGACATTTCAACATTGCTTTGAATGTTTGCAAAGTGATTCGAGTTTGTGTCTCTATATGTGATACTTGATAGAGCCAGTGCGTCTGTGAATGAAAATAAGTTATCTAAGCAAATTGACTGTTGGTTTAAGATAGATATAAAACGCAGATGATGATGCGAGTTTCGGATATGACGATGCGAATTTTGCATATTATGATTCGAGTTTCGAATCATATAGTTCGAGTGCTGCATCATATGGTTCGACTTTTCACATTGATTATGTATTGTCCAATTTTTACACAAAATAAATTCCAGAGCCTTCGAGTACGTCTGCTGAAGATTAATATAGCTATTGTCTTGAAAGGTTAAACGTCATTCATGTTTAAGCAATGTTCATGTTTGAAGATTTAGAAAAATCAAAGTCATTCTAACTCAGTCATTGTTCATTGTTCCCGAACCTTACATTATGATTATCAACTTACTTCTGTAATTAATAATTCCTTTAAACCCTCAAATGCTTCCAGTTGATATGCAGCGTCTTCTGGGGATGTTGTTACGTCCATAATAAGGATCACAACATCTTTTGTCACTGGCCCTTTTAGAAACGTGCCATAAAATTAAAGGACAATTCCATACGTTAATAAACCAGTGGTTGAATTCAATTTAACTCAGTTTTTATTCATTTTCCACTTACGTATATTTCACTTTGACATTTAAATAGGCTTTCTTGGTTAAACAAATCATGATCTGGAGTGAGTTATTCATCTGGCTGACAGGCTTCTGGCGTGTTTGTCGCCTTTTATCATTAAACTCAATATTAAACTAAAAACCTACTTGTATCTATGTACGTCCCAATGGAGAATATTGCTTGAAGGGGTTCCTTTTCAAAATAATGTACGCTTCCCACAACAGGATTGGTCTCGTTTATGGGCATGAAGTATGTTTTCCAAGATCTATAGCTATAGTCGAAGCTAATACGGCCTATATCATCGATATATGTCCATCCTATTTTATCTCTAGAATTGATTTCAAACTGTTCATTTTGTAAAAGGAATATCTGGAAAATAAATTGTTTCACTTTCAGGATTTCTTCCTCAGAACATTTTATTTTTTAAGTTTTTAAAGTTTCTAATAAAGCACAATTACCAAAGAGAAAAGATCAAAAGTATCATGTAACCTAGGTGAAAACCTTAAGTGTAAACCAGCTTTGTAAGAAAAACAATCATATAAAAAAGAACACTGTATAATACCCCCTTTTCCTCACCATTCAAGAACCAATTTCAGTTGTCATATAGGCCATATAAGGGTGAACAGTGCACGCGACTATAAATATATGCCATAATCCCGCGTAACAATATCACCTTTGCACATGGCGTCCTATTTTATAGGGATATATAAAAAAAAACGTAGAACTCCATTATGGGCAAAATGTTCAACTTGAAAAAACATTGTGAATAAACTGGTTTGATTTTATTCATTTTAGTAAAATTGTACAAAATCTTGCACAGTTATATGGTTGCCATTGAAACGGGTATTTGCTGTATGTGAAAAGACAACACATGACTCAGTAAATTCTGTGTGATTTATGTACTCATCTCTTGATTTCAATGTTATTTATATCTTACTTCGATTTTGCCACTCTCAGTTCCCAAAACTGTGACTTCTTTTTCCCAAATTAAGGCATACTTGTACCTCCGAACGGATGGACGCCATATTTGTAGCAGTACAGTTGTATTTCTAGCAACATCAGTCTCAGAATATTCATGAATATACATTACAAAGCCAATGACTACGCCTCTGGCAAGATATGCTTCCTGAAACCAACTTTTTCTGGCCCAACTTTTGAGATATCTAGACCTTTGTTTGATCTCATTTCCATATTCTCTGTAGAAATACTCCGGATATCCTGTATTAAAGACACGTTTACTGTTCGTTAACAAGTTAACTTATGTCATTCATGTTGTATATGCATCCATACTACATTAGTTATCTTTAAATCCCAAACCAATATAATGAGTTGTTGTTTATTTTAAAGAAAGTAAGGTTATTTTAAGGAAAGTACATTCATTCTATTGTTTTTTAAGAATGAACACTTGGTAAGCTATCAAAAACAAGTGTGGCACAAACACAAACTATGGCAGACGCTACAATACGATTTGGCAGTGGTAAAACATGATACAAGGGGTGATCAACAAATAACGCAAATAGAGCCCTATCTCAGAAACTAATTGGAGTTAGTACACAAAACTTGATACATAGTATCACCAACCATTCATTAATATTTCCAGAAAGTTTCAGGCACAAACATTGATATATGCCAAAGTAACAGTTACTATAGTAACCCGTGGTATGGGTACCTGAAGTAGGTCTTGAATATTAAGTAATAATAAGGATTTAGCATACGGTAACCCAAGTCGTGGGCACCTGAAACACCTCAACTATATGATGTCACAGTTTTTTAACAATCATTTTCAGACTCATAACTCATGCCCAGCTCATGTTAAGAAGTGACAGTCCTATCAACCATAACCAGCTGCTCTACTTCTTTAAGCATCTCTGCTGTGCGTGTTGTTTTTGGAGCACCTCTTCGGGAAGCATCCTCAGCAGATCTTCTTGGTTTTTCAGAAATCGTTCTGTATCATCTGTAGACATTGCTTAGTCCATTTTCATTACCAAATGACTTATTTAGCATCTCATAAGTTCTTTGCAGTGACATTTCATTCAAAATACAGCATTATATCAGTTCTCTCCGTCTTCTATGGAAGTCTGATGACTGAAGTTTTCAATTCTATCATTTTCAGCATGGCTGACTTGACTTTGATTTCCTCAATGCCTGTAGGTTTCTGTCATCTTATCGTTGGGTTCAACTTGTATAGCCTAATGGCAAAGCTATTGTTGGGTAGGCATTATGAAATAACGATTAAAAGTAGATAACAATTAACAGACACTTTTCAGAATTGATTTACACCAAAATAACATCAATTTTGTATGACTTAACGGTGTCAAACTCATTTTGGACAGACATTTAATACCTTATTGTTATGATTCACGACCTGCTTCAGGTGCCCATACCACAGGGTTCTATGGCAACCGTAACTCTGACATAAAGTAATATTTGTGCCTCTGATTTTGTTGCAATAATAATGAATATTTGGTGATACTACGTATCAAATTTGGTGTTCTAACTCCAAACAGTTTCTGAGATACAATGTAGGGCTCTATTTGCGTTATTTGTTAATCACCCCTGGTACCTAACAGAACAACTTGTTTTCTCCAAGTCTATGGAAAATGCCAGTGCTAAATGTGTTTTCAGTAAGTTATAAATAAGTTAGAAGTTTAACTTCATAGTTTCTACACGTTGTTTAATAATGAGAGTCCCTGGCCAATCAACGATCCTGGCTGGCACGTGTTATATGAGCCTGGCCATAGAAAAACCGGTCTTTTCACAAAAATTTAAATTGTGCTACAGAGCCAAAAATGTGCCCAAGATTAAGAGGAAAATGTGCTAAATTAGGATCCAACTTTTAGGTCTATATATGCATGGCTCATTTGAAAGGTCTTTTTGCGCTTTTTAATGCCTTGGTCATATTTGCTCCGATTTTCACTACGGGGCCCGGCCGATTGAGTATTTTGTTCAAAATTGAATACAATATTGAACAAAACACTCAATCGGCCGGGCGGCGACCGATTGATCGAAGCATATGTGACCAAGGCGTAAGATAAACAAAAAATCAAAATATTGAAAAATCTGTGATAAGACCCGTTTTCCTGTGGCCTGGCTCATATATCATATGAAAGCTCATGTAATTTCGGACTTATTGAAGCAACTTTTATTTAGGTCAGCAGCTTTTAAAACTTTCTACTCCCCACAACAACGTGTTCCCATTTCATTTAAGGGATTACAATCGAACAGCCATATTTCTAAAAAAGTAGCTGTTAAGGTATTTTTGATTTTAGTTGATTTCGTAATTGTCTCACTTGATGAAACAAATGTACCTCCGCATACGTATACTTCAAAAAAAAAACATAGCATTTATCAAACTACTATATCATCATGTACTTAGAGAGTGGATCTTCTATCCTTTCAACGAAATGTGTATTAATGTAGACGGGTTACATTTTATTGTCTAAAACTCCTACCTTGTGGCAAACAAAATCAGAAATACTTATTCTCGATCATGACTGATATTACTGATCACTTTTTTTCTGTGACAGATAATAATTCAAATATTACTATCAACAATAAGTTGATAAACTAAAAAAGTATTCACATATGATTGACCTAAATAAATACGTTAGCAATTGTGGCAAAAGTGGAAAGACAAAGGAATATCAAAAAAGAAAATCGAAACCAGTCATAAGAATCACATAAGGCATTAACATGCAAAGTGCCACCACCTGCCTTTTGTTACAGACGTCATTTGTTAAAGACGCTGCGAACACAATCACCGACAATCGTCCACAAAAAGTTGTAGACTATGACAATATGTTACCACTTGTGGCGGTGACATAAAAACCCCAATGTCTCCAAAAACATCAGAATATTTAGTTTACCATCGGCCTCCGTTGTTAACTGCAAAGCTGGTGTCGTTGAGTTAAATTCAGTAGGAGGAGTCTCTGTAGCATTTCCGCTTCCGCTGTACTCTGTAACGAATAAACATTTGAAGCACTCGAGGGCGTACGCAACACTAGGGACTCGCTTAGGTCATAAATCCACCAATGTTCGTATATTTTGGTATGTATGTTAGTAAATAAATGAAAATAATATAAATTCAGTTCATCCTGCTTTAAACTTCTTTTTTAATTGAGGGTAAAAATTAAAGCTTAATCATGGTAATTTAGTTCCCTAAATTATACTGGAGATGTTTGTTGAGATTAATAACCAAGAAACGAGAGAAATGTAAATACAAAGTGGGCCAAAAAAACAATACACAAATTTGAAGATAAATAGCACATGATAAATTTTAAATCATACCATGTATTGAATATCATTTTAAAGATAAATAATTTCCTAATTACAATATGCCACCATCTGACTGGAAAACCTTTGTTTTTCTTGTGGAGTTAGAGGCTAAAATTGACACCAGACGTGTGATGAGTGAGCATAACTTTATTCACTGCGGATTCCAAAATGGTGGAAATGGAGCGCAATTTAAACTTTAATAGTGCAAAATTAACCATAGTACTTATATCTTTTTAATTGAATATCAATTGTGTTTTATCCTTACATATAAAATAATGATTCAATTTAGCATATTGAGTGCAGCTTTGACCGCAATATGAAGGGAAATTTCGAAATTTTTATGTTTTTAAGTTACCATTTCAATTATGAACAAGTAGCCCGATAATAGCATCCCTTAATTCCAGGGTCTCTGAGCCAAAAAGAGCCAGTATGACCAGATTAAGCAATGAAGATACGGCTCTTATACAAATTTTAAGAGAAGACTATGGGGCAAGAAGAATATTAAATGAATTCCCGAGTAGGAACCTTATAGACAGGTTCCAATTTCAGAATATCTCGAGGGAAAATGTTTTTGAGGCATTTTTTAGAAAAAGCAACAGACCTATTTTTCTAGATCAGATTGTCATGCTAATAAAGAGATTCAAAGATGACAGCTCAACGGGATGGCCATGACACTGCTTTTTAGCCCCTAGGAAAATATTTTAGGGGGGGGGGTACTATAATATAAGTTCATAACTCAAAGGATACATGAACTATTGTTCTGAGTTCAACAACATACATTGTTAGTACAGAGATGAATACTATCCTAAAGTTATAGGTTGATATCTTTGTTGGTTTCGGAAAAATCCAATTAATTAGAAAAAATATGCAATTTTTGTCCTTTTTCTTGTCCTTTCTTTCTTTTCCTTGAAATTATTCATGCATTTTCTAAAACCCATCCTTATTATTAACTCGGGCTCCACTATTGTGCATTTATGTGCTTTTAATTTCCAAGAAATAATGTAACAGGATTCTTTGTCATTTCTTAAAAAAGTATTGTTCTGCTAAACCACGCACGCATTTGATTCATAAATCAACATCCTGATAGGTTGTGTTAGGCTATATCGGTATTCCAAAGTTTGGAAATATAAGTCGCTGTCTGTTTACTTACGTTTATAACTATAATTAAGGGACCACCCACTGAATGAAGTACTGCCATCAGTCGTAAACACAATGTACACAAAATACCCCGTGGTTGAAATATCTACCGGAATGCTTCGTCCACTGAATACTCCAAGGGAGGTGTTCGTGCGACCTAACCCATCATACACCTATGATAATTATTAGAAAACTGATTAATATTTAAAGGCAGAATCAGATATACATTGGTGAAAAAATTACAAGCAACATGTACAATTGACCGACCAATGTATTCCTCACAATCTCAAAAACAATATCTCCAAAAATTTAAAGATTCACGACATGTTATGAATTGGTGAAGTTATTTCGATGAAAAATGGGTGAAAATGTTTAATTTAATGCTCGCTACATCTGATTCTCTAAGTCCAGAAGGGATATTTGGCAAAATAATACAATGGTATATGCTTCTCTCGTTATGATTCCGATGTCGTTGCATCAAGTTTGTTACGACCTGGTTTAAACATGTAGTGTTATGAGTTAGATGTGTTGTATGATTTATTATGCAAAGTTTGTTAATTTTTATCTGGAAGGATACATGAAAATCTCCAAATACCCTTAGATAATCGTAGCTTCCTTCAGTTCTGAATGCATTGAAGTGTATGGTTCGAGGACCGTAGTAAGATAGGATGACGTATGTACAATTCAGATTGTTCGGATAGTTGCGTGGATAGTTTGGTGACGTAATTGTTCCACTTGATGAAACAAATGTACCTCCGCATACTGTAAATAAAAAAACATAGCATTTATCAAACTACTATATCATCATGTACTTAGAGAGTGGATCTTCTGTCCTTTCAACGAAATGTGTATTAATGTAGACGGGTTACATTTTATTGTCTAAAACTCCTACGTACCTTGTGGCAAACAAAATCAGAAATACTTATTCTCGATCATGACTGATATTACTGATCACCTTTCTTCTGTGACAGATGATAATTCAAATATAACTATACACAATAAGTTGATAAACTAAAAAAGTATTCCCATATGATTGACCGAAATAAATTTGTTAGCAATTGTGGCAATAGTGGAAAGATCAAGGAATATCTAAAAAGAAAATCGAAACCAGTCATAAGAATCACATAAGGCATTAACATGCAAAGTGCCACCACCTGCCTTTTGTTACAGACGTCATTTGTTAAAGACGCTGAACACCGAACACCAATCACCGACAATCGTCCACAAAAAGTTGGAGACTATGACAATATGTTACCACTTGTGGCGGTGACATAAAAAACCCATTATCCCCAAAACATCAGAATGTAATAGTTTACCATCGGCCTCCGTCGTTAACTGCAAAGCTGGTGTCGTTGAGTTAAATTTAGTAGGAGGAGTCTCTGTAGCATTTCCGCTTCCGCTGTACTCTGTAACGAATAAACATTTGAAGCACTCGAGGGCGTACGCAACACTAGGGACGCGCTTAGGTCATAAATCCACCAATGTTCGTATATTTTGGTATGTATGTTAGTAAATAAATGAAAATAATATAAATTCAGTTCATCCTGCTTTAAACTTCTTTTTTAATTGAGGGTAAAAATTAAAGCTTAATCATGGTAATTTAGTTCCCTGGAGATGTTTGTTGAGATTAATAACCAAGAAACGAGAGAAATGTAAATACAAAGTGGGCCAAAAAAACAATACACAAATTTGAAGATAAATAGCACATGATAAATTTTAAATCATACCATGTATTGAATATCATTTTAAAGATAAATAATTTCCTAATTACAATATGCCACCATCTGATTGGAAAACCTTAGTTTTTCTTGTGGAGTTAGAGGCTAAAATTGACACCAGACGTGTGATGAGTGAGCATAAATTTATTCACTGCGGATTTCAAAATGGTGGAAATGGAGCGCAATTTCAACTTTAATAGTGCAAAATTAACCGTAGTACTTATATCTTTTAATTTGAATATCAATTGTGTTTTATCCTTACATAAAATAATGATTCAATGTAGCATATTGAGTGCAGCTTTGACTGCAATATGAAGGGGAATTTCGGAATTGTTATATTTTAATTAACAAAAGTTACCATTTAAATTATGAACAAGTAGCCCAATAATGGTATCCCTCAATTCCAGATTCTCTGAGCCAAAAAGCCAGTATGACCAGAATAAGTTATGAAGATACGGCTCTCATACAATTTTAAGAGAAGACTATGGGGCAAGAAGAATATTAAATGAATTCCCCAGTAGGAACCTTAAACTTGGCATCGTATCTGATTTGTTAAAAAACTGGCTAAAATATAGAAACAGTATCAGAATTGATTTGCAGTCAGAAATTAGAAAGACGAGGATCGAGCCTTATATAGTCCTCGAGAGATTGAACAGAAACATGAAATACCGAGGTCATCAGTCCGAAGAATAGCAAACAAAGACATAAATCTTAAAACATTTAACGTCAGAGTGCCTCTTTGTTTTCGAATGCAGAGGCGCCATTTCAGTAAAAAGTATTGGTCTTTGTCGGAGTCTCAAAATAGGGAAAAACAAGAGCTCGTTTTATTGAAACAGGTTTTAATTTTTAAGTATTACGAATACATACGTTCATATCGAAGCGACCATCCACGTCTTGTGGTGCTGCCGTCTGAAGTAAATCGCATGTATGCAAACCTTCCCGTAGTAACAAAAGAACGTCGAGAAACATTCCCACTTAGTATTTCTATGAGTTTGTAGTCCGAAAGGCCATCATAAATCTGTAAAACATTACTCTCAATAAATGAGTTTCTAATAGCCTATATTGCTCTGAAATCTTGCTATTTCTCGTTTTTGTGAGATTTTAAGAGATTTACATATTAAAGGACCATGCAAGGTATGACAAGAGATATTTTCGATTTATATTTTATCATCATGGGGACTTCACTTGAAAGAAAACATATTGTTTTTATAAAAACCACTGTTTTTATTGCCAGAAATGATGAAAGATATAACATAACTCCCTTACTATATCAGTTTGCAAATAAAATATCTATAAAAACTTGGTTAGGATCTGTCTGTTAGTAATACTTTACCTGTAGAACATCATACGAGGATTCAGTATAAAAATCAATGAGATGTATAAGTAATCGTTCGTTTGATCCTCGAATGGTGTAGTGACATCGTAGATTATTGGGATAGTTGTTGGGATAGTTTGGTGACTCAATCGTTCCAGCATGTGCATAGTAAGTACCCCCACAATCTGTAAGACGAGTGCAATATGGAGTGTTTTTTGATTGTTCCCAGAAAATTACGTACGTTTGAATCCCAAGAAATCAAAATCAAAAACATCTGTATGAATTATCATAGCTAGTCAAAAGTGTTCAACACAGGACGAAACTAAACAACTAAAACAAGAATAATCTCGAGTCCAAATATTTCACCATTAAAGCTAATAAAGTTTGGATTGCAATAAACTAAAAAAAAGCTTGAACATCTCCCAAATCGGAGGATTTTGAAGCAAACGGCCTCCGTTAGTACAGGTTCATGATACTCGAAAAATGTCATTTGATTTTATTTATTTCTAAAATCAAAGGTTTTAACGATATATCTAATAGGACTTGGATAACTCAAGTTAATTTGATCATGTACACAGGCAAATTACATCGGACCCTGTACAAGCCCGTTAGGAGCTCGTTGAGTCAACGGGCATTGTACAACCTCGCAAGGGCCTCGTTACGAGTCTTAATAATGTTGCATGACATTAAATGATTTTTTGTCAGCTGTTATGTGTGCTGTAAAAAGGTCCCGATAACGGGTCTCCAAAAGAACAATTACGAGTATCGTGCGAGCTTTGAAGCTTCACTGTGGCCGTCATGCTATCTATTTTATGTAAAATGAAATTTTGAAGCTTTAAATGAAAGTTCACGCCAGTGAACCTTAGCACCGACAGATATGATTTATCTTTTGTTTCATTCTATTATACTAGTGGTGAATATAAATCTGATTTGGAAGTCAAAGCCATTAAAACACATTCAAGACTTCAATTGCCTTCAGTTGAGCTCATGAGACCGTCCTTGAGTAAAACTTTGTATATGCGACATCTATTTTGTTAATACATATGGAAAACGCCATATTTTTTCATCTATGCGCATGTCACTTATTCAAGTTAAAAGTTGGAAATCGAACAAGTTAAACCATCACATTTCGACTTTAAGATTCACGACAGATATGCAAAAGTGGTCGGATAAAATGACTGATTTGTCATCATACTGTAAGTTAAACAGGTTTTATAAATAAACTATAATGTCTACCAACGTTCGTCTTCTTTGATATAAAGCCAGTAATATTACATTGCAGGCTTTAATTTCATCCCTATTCATAAAAGTTTTTGGTTTTACAGGTAGTTGATTTCAACATAAAAACTCGTAGTTTTCTCAATTCAGATGCGGAACCCATGATTCAGATTTAGCTCGAGACTGATCATTCCTTTTATTCAATCAAACCGCATGTAGACCAAAGTATAAAAGAGTATCTTAGAAAGAAGGCTAGTTGTAAACGGGGGGGGGGGGGGGGGGGGATCCAATGACGGTAAAAAGGGAATTTCATACATAGAAGCCAAGTTAAGTACCAGTCAAAATTGAAGCGATTTGTTTGTGAAATTCGGCGAAAATAAGGTTATACGAGCGTACATCTTAGTTGTGTTGCACATTGAAGATAGATGCTGACTGTGATAAAGTTTTCGTTGCAACTGCTTTCTTTGAATACTATGACTAGGATGGATGGGAATAACTCGGTGGCCGTTGGTCGAGCTATAACTGACTAAAATATAAATCAAAATCAAACCTAATAAAGAGGGCGAGGGCGAAGTGTAGTTTTGGGTTTGCTGAGGATAGCTGAATGTACTCCGTGGAGGAAACCTATATCGAAAGATGGTTCGATTCACAACGCATATCGTTATCCTTATATTATCATCAATGCAGTGATTTCCAACGCCATCAGCAAAGTTATACATATTTTCTTCATTCAGGACAAATCGTTTTTGGCCAGACTGCTGCCCCGTTGTATTGGAGAAATTTTGGCAAAATAGAAAGTCAATCGGATGCAACTCATTTACATTATGTAATCCATTCCAAGTCATCGTCACATTTGTTCCTGAAAGTACGCATATATGAGTTTGAGAAATTCCATTGAAAAATTATATTTTGAACTTTTAGGATTCCAAAAAGGTTTATTGCGAGTTTTTTGTGAAAATCATAAATCATAAAAAGAATGCTATAAAAAGGCTTTCTAAAGCTTCGTAGCCGATCCATTGGATTAGCACCCTTTAAAAGCTACTTATTACGAGAGGATTGTTTACATGTTTATGTCAATGTATTATTATATCTTACCCGGATAGACACATTTTAATTGGTCTTCAAGAACCATCCCCGAATCCCATTGTAGTTCTATGTCTTCCTCATCAATAAAGTATAATGGGCAAATCATATTACAGATATAGTTCCCATCATCAAATCTGCTCGGATCACCACCTGGGAATCCTAGAAAAGGCACAAAAAGGACAAGAACAATCGCCAAAGAAGACAAGATATGCATGTTACAGACGCCGACCTCACACGCTGAATACAAACAGCCGAACACCAAACGCCGTCCGCAAAAGTTGGAGGCTATAACAATTCTTCACCACTTCTGGTGGTTACATGACACATAAAAAGCCACCAATAACAACAAAATGTAAGATCTAATATGTAAGCACAAGTGTCAAAAAGGTTTGGTTTAATTAAGAATCGGTTTGATTAAATGATATATTCCATGCACTATTTTAAAATAAAGCTTCATTAAAAAGATACGACAGTATATATTTTTCGTTTCAGAACATTAAGTTTGACTTCTCAATATATGTGCGAACTATTAACACTGATTAGTTTTTAGTAAAAAGGAAGGTTTATGATTCACGTAAAAAAATAAATAAAAAATTAACGACATCGAATATCTGATAAACCAAACCGTACCTGAATATATCCCTCTTAGTGCTGTTTTAGTACTCCGAACAATCCTATCATAAAAGTACTTCATAGAGGAACTAATTATTTGACGAACTGATTTTTCTGATGGAACTCTTGAACTGTCTTCATCTGTCGGTGTTGTACGTGGCGTGGCATTGGAGAGCAGTTCGTAGAGAACTGCTTCAACTTCCTCGAGGCGATTTGTTAAGTTGGCAATTTGCTCATCCTTTTTCATTAGCTCTTCTTGAACATTAGAACCTTGCGATACTTCCAGTTGTTCAATTCGTCGCATCATATTTGCAACAACTCCATTGGACATATCACCTGATTCAAGCTGTTCAAGTCGGAGTGTCAAATTAGCAATTTTCTCATCTTTATCATCACACTTTGTTTGAAGTTGTTTCAGTTTCTGTTTAACACACCCTCCTTCACTTGGACAGTTGAGACGCGTGCATTTCCTGGCATTATCATTAGCTATTGCAGCAACTAGTATACAAAACACCGTTGCAAATCCCAACAACATTTTCACTGCTTACTCCATTAAGGGTGTTGCCGAATGTCTCATCCTCTTAAATGATATTACGACTTCACCGTTAAATAGTGAAAAGACCCAAGGATTTCTTTACAAAGAATCCATTGATAAAAATCAGCCAATGATGACTTGTTTTGACATATTTTTTTATGACTCAGTTTTAACCTAGTCGACTTAATACTTCCTTGTCCGATCAGTGCTCGTGGTATTAACAAGTTTTAGTTGAAAAATTATACCCTCCATGATCGTAATTTCTATTCTTATAAGTTACATGATGATAGTCTTTGATGATAGTCAAGGCTAGATATACAGGGTGTCCAATAAATAAGGTGAAAGATATTGTAACTTTCTTAATATTGCACCAATCTTGATGGAATTTTCAGGGTTTGTAGCCCAAACCTTTTTACCTTTATTCTGTGAATTTAAAGCGTCTTCTATTTGATTGGCCAGAGTTGTGGTTGCTACAGCAACCGAAACAACAAAAAGGCGGGGCAAGTTTGTTTACGTCACAACTTTCCAAAACATATTTATTCTTTCTGACAGCTTTATTCATACCCCCATGTCTATTACTACCACAAATACGATATAAAAACAGTCCTTATGTCCCATTGTTATGAAAATAAGCTATTCAACATGATGTCCATCTCTAGCTATACGACTTCTAATGCCTATTCACCCACTCTAAACACACTTTCAAACCCATTCTTGTCCATTTCCTGAAGTCTTGCTAAGACATGTGATCTGACTTCATCAGTACTTCCAAATTTATTTTCTCTCAAGTCACGCTTGAGTTCTGCATATAAGTAAAAGTCATTGGGTGCAAGGTCTAGGGAATATGGAGGGTGTCCAAGTAGGGGTAGCCCCAGTACCCTAATAGTTTCACTAGTGAACATAGCTAGCTGTGTGTCAGGAAATGGGCAAGAATGGATTTGAAAGTGTGTTTAGAGAGTTGGTGAATAGGTATAAAAAGTGTATAGTTAGAGATGGACATTATGTTGAATAGCTTGTTTTCATAACAATGGGACTTTAACACTGTTTTTATTTATATTTGTGGTAGTAATAGACATGGGGGTATGAATTAAGGTATCAGAAAGAATAAATATGGTTTGGGAAGTTGTGACGTAAAAAAACTTGCCCCGCCTTTTTGTTGTTTCGGTTGCAATAGCAACCACAACTCTGGCCAATCAAATAGAAGACGCTTTAAATTCACAGAATAAAGGTAAAAAGGTTTGGGTTACAAACTCTGAAAATTTCAGCAAGATCGGTGCCATATTAAGAAAGTTACTATATCTTTCACCTTATTTATTGGACACCCTGTATATCAGTAGTTTATCCCGTCACACATATTTTTTATTCATGTAATATAATTATTATCAAGTGTTATATTTACACACTAGATACCCATAGAGGGTAAGCTGGGAGGGGGGGGGGGTATATCAGTGCATTATCAAAAAATGGATTAAGCATAATGGTTTCATCATCTGTCTGTTGGATCACAATTACTCTCCTCCTATGAACTTTAGATATCTGCTGTCGGGTTTACTTGTACAAGCAGAGTTGGCCATAAATTGGTATCGGATTAAAGCCCACTCGTCCGAACCCATCTTATTGAGAAATTGTGTTCCAATTATTAATATTCAGATAAATTGTTCAGACTGTAAGGAAGCTGTATAACCCCTTTAATTTGATATTTACCTTATGGTGGCACACCTGTTGGGTCCAATGAAAACAAACATTGTTAAATGCTTTGGGGGTTAATTTCTTGTTTTTTCATTTTTAACCAATATTTTTTTTCAACTCAAAATAGGTAACAATATGTTCGTTTCCATGTCTCCTTCCGAAAGTATATCGCTTGTTTATCGCTTATTTGGCTAAGGGCAAAATTGAAACTGCCTGCAAGGACGTCCTTGTCTATAAAGTAAATTCCAGCAGAACCCGATTTCAAGCTGCATCGATCTGCGGTCTCGTGTTGTTTGCTACATAGACATCTGGTTTCAGATACATTAAGACACCTCATTATTCACTTAACAAATATCGTTTTCCCATTTGTTCACCCCTTCAAAAACATCTTACCTATAACTATTTCCGATTATTCTATTGTCGACATTTTGGTATTATACGTAAATATCTAACAAAGTATTCTAATAAGGCGTACATAACAACGGTAGATTGATTGATTTCTCAGACAGGGGGTCATTTTTGATTAACATTCTCCGTGTGGTAATGGAATCTTCTTGATTTTAAGTAGATTCCTTTTGTCTTCTTCTTTATTGCTTTTCTTTGCTTTCGTATTACATGGCCGTAAATCGGATAAAATGAATGACATTGGGAAGGAGTAGAAAATTCAACTTTTCAACAAGGAGGATTGGCTCCCAGAGTGCAACATCGATATTCTGTCCCATATATAGGCATGTCGTGCTACAAAATTTGAATTCCAACAGCCGCCATTTTGTTCACTTCAACATTTGAATCGTGAATTTTGGTCTTATTTCCTAACGAAAAATTCCAAAACTCACAGGAAATGATCGAGATATTGGTTCGAATCTTTTGAACTGTTTATTTTGAATTTATAATCGGTTATAATTTCAGAAAATAACGACATCTCGGCGTTTTCATTGTTGGAAAATATCGACTTCGATTCTGGGAGCCAATCCTCCTTGACTTTTCAAGATTTATTTTTCACGAGGAAGTTTACCAATGAATTGCTAAGTGAATAAGCACACGGTATGGGAATATCATTGTTCTATTGTCGAAGTGATGTCTAAGTTATGAGATCTATTGAAAAGGCCACAACGTCACCAGGGTGCAAAAATCAATATTTTTGTAATAAATCATCAAACAACGGGGTGCATTTCCATCGCGAATTCAGTTTTGATTTTGAATCAACATTGAATTGCATGGTTTGATTCATACGAGTATTAATGACAGCTTACATTCTAATGTACATTTAATAACATAATATATTGTAACTCTCAAGAAACACTCGATCAGATCAGATAACGTTTTTATTGGTCAATCAGCCTGAAGTCACACGTCGTGTCCATGCGATCTTGTCAATCAATAAAGTTTCGCGATACCCGTAGGTAGCATACTATTAGGTAATATGGGAATCTCGGAACTGCTGAATAACTTAGCATGGTATGAGTACCGTAATCCAACACCAAATTCGAAAATTCACAACAATACTTTGCACATATGGCGTTCGTGATCAACTATAAAACGCTTAACCCCCATAGTGCTATATATCAAAATGTACCTGTTCATATAGGGGTTCGATTGATCTACATCAAATTATAGGGAGTCGGGTTACTTTTTGAGATATCAGCGTCCATTTATTGTAACTCGCGTTTGCTACCATTTCCTCAATTCTGAGATGACGGACAAACGCGTAGTAAACATGATCACGTCGGAACTATTTTGACCTACATCGATATTTTCGTAATTCAAATGAAAGTTGAACTCCTCCTCTTTATTTTCATACCAAATAGTGGCATACTAGGTACCCTAGAAGCCAACTATGGCGTTATTTAGAACAATACCAAAGGTTTTTAAATGGACTATATATACCTTTTGGCGGATGGATACGGAACCTCATACCATAATATCAGCGATGATGCATTGGATTGTACAAGGTGGTAATAATTCAAGATCAGAGAAGTAAATAAATACCGACTTGGGCAAAGCTACAAGTTTCAGAGCCATTAACATTCCTTAAAAGTCGTGACAATGAGCAGCCAACAGATGGACCATCCGTAAATCTTGATGATTTTGTCAGCTCAGCTGAACGAGCCTACAGATTCCTTGAAACAAATGACCCAAATTCAAGAATAATATTATCTATTTCCATTTTTTTGAAATCGTGGTAAGTGGAATCTTTCCAATTACCAATATAGCATTATTATTGTTTTTGGACACTGTGGATTAAAATATTAAAAATACACACATTCAAAATGATTCAATTAAAACCTAGCCAGCCTGTTCATTGAATCCATTAAGAACGTCTACTAATCCACATGATACATCAGTATTAAATTGCTTTTTTAAAGCGGATATTTAATACCATAACCCCAAAAATATTATAAAACGCATTGTATTTGAATTTTACTTCACACAGACATATTTGTGTACGTGAAATAATTATATTACTTGAATTTTTCATTCCCCATTATAAGGTAAACCTATGGCAAATTATACATACCTTCTCACAGCTATGAGCGGGATGATAAAACTGATCGAGTGAACTCGTTTGAGTTATCTATTCTCCGTAAAAATATCAGAGAATGTGTGTTTATAGCGTAGCTTTGGTTTTGTAAATCAATGAAGTATGATATACACGGATGAGTAAATATAGATTATTTAAACAGAAGTGCAAAATTCTTCCATTGAAAAGTACAGAGGCGAGCACGCACGATGCATATAAATGATTGTATCCACATAGATCGACTAGCCACAGTGTATACTAGGTAAATATATTGGTAAGATGTTTCCTCTTAGGTATGCATTTGGCCTATTTCTAAAATCGCATGCTTCTTTGCATGTCAAACATTTGACTCAAAAATGAAACGAAGTGATCAGTATAAGAACATTCTTACAAATCATTTGATCCAGAAGAATCCTATTTCATGGAGTTTATTTTTTATCTGGAATGATGGCAATGTTAATCACATTTGTGTTCGAGTGTGATTTTTCAGTTGGGTCTTCGATGACTATTTCTGTGCCTCTCTTACATTGAAGTATCATTCTGTAGCCCTGTTTCATTTGCCTGTTCATGGTTGCATACACTACGACATATATACATGGAGGGAAACGATACATAGTCTCAATGATGACACTTATTAATGTCGCCATTGGTTGAGATATATTTTTAGAAAAACTACCAGATACCATTCCCGGTAATGTGTATAAAATTATGTACACCGTAAATATGACGAATGTTGTTCTGGTCAGAATGCTTTCCGATTTACTTGATCGTTGATTCGACGTTCCTCTATTGATGACCTTGACCTTTCGCTGGGCCATTTTAACTTTAACAATGATATGGATGTAACAGTAGAGTGTAACGAGTACTTCCGGCAGATAAAACATGAAAATATTAATTTGGTTCATCATATTGTCTACATTACCATTATTTGGTGCACACTTTATCTTTACGTAATCAAAAACAACGTTTGGATGCATTGGCCAAGTGATTCCAATAAGCTGCACAAGAAATGGAGCAATCCATATGTACAGCACGATCCCAATATGTATTCCTTTTTTGTTAAACCCGGGGTAAAACTTAGGATGGACGATCTGAATGTACCTGGTAACAGCCATAAATAATATACACAGGGACGAGGCATTGACCAACCATTGAAAGCAATACCGTTCCAGGGCGCATGCGGTGTAGTTGTGAGGCGCCAGGTTAACAATGGTATTTAGGCGCATTGGTAGCAGGAGAAGCAGATACGTTGCGTCTATGATGCTCTGGTTGGCTATTAAGGTATACGTGAATTGACGTCGAAATGTTGGGTATCGCAATACTAAGAATGCTGTCAGAATGCTGCTCAATCCTATAGAAAACGAAAATAAGATCATACTCATATACATGTAGCAATTCATACCTTATTTTTCATCAACCAATTTCTGCAATTTCTCCGGCGTCCTTTTAATTTCATAACTTACATTGTACATTCCCGTAAAATGGAAAATTCTATAATGGAGTGAGGAAGAGGTGTTATTTAATCCTTATGTGGAATGGGGGTAGGAGGGTGGGATGGCCCCTCCTCCTGATCTTTCCCCGGTACCTTTCTGTCATGTAAAAATGTTTTTCTGCAATGGTCGTAGCTATAGCTTCAGATAACAGGGGCTGAGTTAGAGTGTTTTCATTACAGAAATTGCTTGGAAATAAGAGCATTTCTTTATTCATCGAATTAAAATGTAAGCTGAGATACAATGATCAGATGTACTTACGATGTTCTAAATATCATATCGCGACACACAACTGTCCGCGACTCGCATTTTGATCCAAATAATTTGAGTAAAAAAATATTTTTTAGAAACTGGTGGTCATATTTCCATGAAAAATGTTTATAAGGTCCTGAATATGTCTTTCAGATGTCTGCAAAACAATATCACCGTATATTTTATAGTTCTGTAGAAATAACTTTATTTGTCTCCCCCCCCAAGATTTTTCCGTTTCGAATGGCTTAATGTCCAAAATTCTTAAACTGTATTATAGCCAGGTGAATTTACCATAGTATGTTCAATTTCAAAAGTATTACTTATTAAATATTCTAGGCCCTAGACTTTGCTTTGTCTCCCCTCCTCCTATTTTCGACAAAATTACCAAATTATCTCCAGATCTAGGAAAGATATTTACCCGCGGTCTTTTGTCCTAAAAAGCCAGATGTCATGCCATGCATCTATCACATTCGTTACCCTTTCCTGGCTAACAGAATATTGTATGTAAACTTTGTTTTTTTATAGAAAAGTAAAAGGTACACCAAAAGGTTCTCCCCTATGTTACTTTGACCTACTTTTGACTTCATTGGACCTACTTTTTGAGATTTTATTATACCTTCCTCATCTGACCATCTGGTCATCTAACCTCTCCTTATCCGTTAGTGTTATAAGAAATACGTTATTCACATTATGGTTAAAGGCAAAAATGTTAATGGAGTGTTTGGATGCCATTGGAAAACTGGGAACATGAGGACAAATCAACATATCTGACCTGTTACTGACATTGTGCAACATTGTTGAACAATAAATTGTACGAATAAGTAAAAGATAAATCCCAATTCCAAATACTTTCAACTGTATTAAAATTCATCCACCTCTTCGACTTTAAAAAGAAAGATTTTCCGACCCCCTTTCAGATATATTCACCAGTAATTAATGACAGATGCACGTTGACACAACCATTTATAAAAAAGATATAAACATACAAAAACAAGTATTTCTGATACAGGGTGTTATTCTGTGTCTTATAAGTTAAAGCTGTTTTATTTCTTTTTAATTATGTGACTCACCTCCAAATATCAAAATTCCTATATTTACAACAATAACAGGGTACTGAGCACCCACTGGTAGCATTACAACATCTTCCCGCCCGACACTGTCGTTCCCAGTCATTGTTGTAGGTGAAATAGTTCACTGTCTAGTTCAACAGATCAAAAGAAGCAAGAAGACGTGCATACATATGAAAGCTCAAAAGAAATTAGCTGTAGAATCTTTTTTGTATGGTCCACTCAAATAATATGACTTCTTTCATACAGCAAAGTTAACTTACTCTCGTACATGTAAATGATTCACAGTACAATGACTGGTGTGTACTTAGCATCAATTTGCTAACGTCAATTAGGTAGTTTTATTGATATTTTGCACATATCTTATTTACCTAAACAAAATCTTGCATCTTTATGTTTACTTCTTTCAAAGCTCTAATAGTTTTCGATTATTTTGTCACGTTTAACAAGAAGTATACCTATCATCAGGTGTCTGTAGCAGAGATGAATTGATTATCCCCCAGACTTTCGGTTTTCAATACCACATAATATGAATCCCAATGTGCTTAAGTGCAACGTGTGACCCTCCATAGGGATATTGATACGTTGATATAAAATAAATTAATTTTCTCGTTGCAATAGGACATCTCCATCTTTAGAGGCGTTTCTGAATATTTGTCAAGTTATAAGTATCAAATATTCCATACATACCAAATAAAACAAACAATTTACCAAACCTTTACCCAATCTATCGAATGTTTTTTTTATTTTACCGAATATAATAATCTGTACAATTTATATTCGCTAAATAGTTTCACTTCTTCTTTGTGTTGGCATTTACATTTGGTATTTATACATGTACATTATTATTATTGTATTTGTGCGATGCAGCGAATAAATTTGTCTTCCTTAACGCACGTATAATTCAATTAATTATTTATACATTCGGTATTTAAATTATTTATATTCGGTAAAAACCGAATGCCACATTCGATAAATTTCGTTATTTTTCGATACTTTACGAGACTTTCAGTCATATGATATATTTGAAGTCCGCCATTTTTGAAATCAACAGGAATGTCTACACCTCCTAGGGCGCGTATTTCCATTAGAAAAATGGCTCTTAAAATGCTACTGGATGGACCGTCATCGTCACTTCCGTCAGGATTCGCCATAAACATTGAAATCAGAGAGAGAATGAAAATGATGTAAAATGGGTGTCGACTTTTGGCTTGCAACCGAAGATACCTCAAGAAAAGCCGGAGATGGCCGAAGATTTTCTTTGCAAACGAAGGTTGGCCAAGGGTACCACAAATGTGAAGAGGACGTCTCTAATTGGTCAAAAAGAGAGACTCGGCATTCTCCGTCAGATTGAATCGGCATAACTCGGTTGTGTGGCTTACCTTCGGTTGTATGGCTTACCTTCGGCTGCATGGCCCAACCTCGATCGACTGAATGGAAAAGATGCTGTCCCGATGTAAAATAGCTGCGCGGCCTAAACTCTAGGTCACGTGACATAATATCGAGCAACAACTAAAGTTATCGAATATTGCTTTATAGCATTCGGTAAATAGCAAATAAGCTTTCGGTAAAATGCATTAACTATGTTACAAAAAAATTAAATCATTTGGTAAAAATAGACAAACTTATTTCGGTAGGGTTCACAAAGAAATTCGATATTGCGCATATAATGTGTTACTCTTAAGGAATAGTAATTCACTGTAACAAATATATTAAATGTTTTACCGAACAAAAAATTGATTTAGCGAATTTAAATATTCCATATATCGAATATATTTGAATTTAATGAATAAAGAAGCAAATAAAATGCCATACATACAGTCAGATTTATATGTCTCTGATACAACTTAACTTTTATCTTTGCCCCGCTCATGCCTGTGTCACATTTGCTCCGATTCATTGGCCGGCGTACGACCGATTGAATATTTTATTCAAAATTGTATTTTACCGGCGCTGGTACGATGAATCTGATCAATTAATGCCCGAGTCACATTTGTTCCATTTCATCTGTCAGAGCTCGGCTGATTGAATATTTTATTCAAAATTGTATTTTACCGGCGCTGGTACGATGAATCTGATCAATTAATGCCCGAGTCACATTTGTTCCATTTCATCTGTCAGAGCTCGGCTGATTGAATATTTTGTTCAAAATTGTATTCAATCAGTAAAGTTGAAGTCCTAGCTTGTATTAGGAAATGCAACTATCGACTGTCGGCTAACGTATTAACCTACTATTTTTTGGGTAACACATTAAAATATGAACAGTATACCTGCCACTATTCCATTCATATCTAAATGAGTTGGTCATAAAATAGTAGGCTAGTCCGGTAGCCAACAGGCGTTAGTTGCATTCGCGAATACAAGGCTAGTTTTTATTATTATCTATATGTATAGATGTCATCAGATATATACCGTCAAACGTGTTCCAAATTACAAAACTGCCTTTCTGTTAGTAAATTATTCTGTTGTGCAGAGTCCCTACTTTTAGCGGCGTTTGGGTCCCCCGGCAAGCTGTGAGAAGCGCTTCTTGTAGACAAAACGTACTTTGAACCGCTCGATTCAGGGATCAGATATGTGTAGACAAAATCTTTAAAACATCTCATCTCGTGTTTAAACATTTTGACCCAAATCTGCGAATCAGATAAAAGACGTGCTTTTAAACGTATGGTCAGTATGAAAAGGGTTTCTAGCCAGGCTAAGGCGGGTATCGTCCTCTTATAAAATAACCCTATTTTGAGGTAGTTTATTTTTGTCTTGGATAAAATAAATGTTAACTTTGGGTATTTTTCTTATTCACCCTGTCCATTAGAATCCTTTTTCATGGAGTTTATTTTTTGTCTGGGATGATGGCAATGTTAATCACATTTGTGTTCGAGTGTGATTTTTCAGTTGGGTCTTCGATGACTATTTCTGTGCCTCTCTTACATTGAAGTATCATTCTGTAGCCCTGTTTCATTTGCCTGTTCATGGTTGCATACACTACGATATATACAGGGAGGTATGCGATACATACTCTCAATAATTGCACTGGTTATTGTCGCCTCTGTTTGAGGTAGATCATTCAGAAAGCTTCTTTTAATGATTCCTGGTAACGTGTATAAAATGATATACACTGTGAATATGACGAACGTTGTTCTTGTCAGGATATTTTCCGACCTATTTGACCGTTGATTTGACCTTCCTTCATTTGTGACCTTGACCTTCCGCTGTGCCATTTTTACTTTAACAATAATGTGAATGTAACAATAGAGTGTCACGAGCATTCCCGGCAAGTAGAAGATGAAAATATTAATTTGGTTCATCATATCCTCTACGTTAGCATCATTTGGTACACACTGCATCTTTACGTAATCAAAAACAACGTTCGGATGCATTGGCCAAGTGATTCCAATAAGCTGCACAAGAAATGGAGCAATCCATATGTACAGCACGATCCCAATATGTATTCCTTTTTTGTTAAACCCGGGGTAAAGCT